CCCCCCCCCCCCCCCCCCAGCTTGTGGCAGGAGACACATACTACCCCCCCCCCCCCCCCCCCAGCTTGTGGCAGGAGACACATACTAATTTTCGTGATTATGCGGCTCACACACACACACAAAGACATCTAATGCACTGTAGGAAGATGAAACAAGGCTTTGCTGAAATATTAAGTACCATCCATCCATCCATTTTCTATACCCACTTGTCCTAAGCAAGGTTGTGGGGGTCCAGAGCCTATCCCAAACGCTATGGGGGAAGGCACCAAAGCACTTAAGAGATTAAGTGCTTTTATAAATTAAATATTAAGCAGCTTAAATATTATTGCCATATGTTGCATGGTACAGTTTAGCCACATTCACCTTATAACTTGGTCAAGGTAAGAAAGTAAGTAAACGCTGAACTTAGGCTGCTCCTCTGCTACAGCATTTCTGCAGCCCCTTCCAGTGTTCACCCACCGTGCCCATTACAGGGCAGATTCCTATCCTGTGAGTGCTCCTCTTAACGGTTACTCAGTGGTTGATCCTGCCCCTTTGAGAAAATATCTCCATTGTTCTTCAAGTTTCTCTTTTCCATTGCTTCTTATTTAAAATATCTCAGTCGCTGGTGAGGAAGCTGAACCAGGCGACAAAAATAGCGCAGGGGCCAGTCCCAGAACGGGACATGAACTGGATTGCTCCGTTAGATATCCGGCGTAGAGTTATAAGACTTTAATATTACTTTGTCTAAACGTAAACGCCACACATAAAAAACAAACTTTTAATTTTTATACTCAGCACCTGATAAACATTTACAGTTATTGACAGTATATAGACTGCAGAAGGCATGCTGTCCTCAGATGGATTTCCCATCCCAGCGATTAATGTCAAGACCATTATAGCGGGAATTGTTTTGCGGAGTTATTCGCCTATTTCCCGCATCGCACTTAAACGTGTCGCATTTTAATCCTTACCTTTGGTCTGTGATTGTCGTCGTCACCAAGCCCCCCTTTAACATTCGAGGCGGCTCTTTCTCTATATAAAGTCATGTATTCCTTTTTCTCAGTGTCACTCTGTATTCTCTGATGCTTTTCTGAAAACTTTAAAGAAGATCGTTAAAAGCAGATAAATACTGAAAGAGAAGATTCATATAATTTAACTGTAACGCAGACTGAAATATCTTTATCTTTAAAACTGTCCCCTTGGCCAGTACCGTGTATTTGTTCAGCGGTACAGACGCATCTAGCGCTTAGCAACACAGATGCGAATAATACCGGACTGACAGGGTAACGGTGCTATAACATCTTACGTTAAACAATCGAGTTCGATTAATCATCATCATTTTACAAAAACAGAATTCGAATTCGAATAGAATTCGAAACTTATGGCAACTTTTAGAACGGGTGAAAAGTAGACATCGGCGAATGCAATCCGTTTATTATCACAACTAAAAGTGACACTGAAGTCCTCACACTTATGGTGTGTTTTTATACATCCGTATTTAGTGTGTATATTTACTGTATACTACTCTTGCACTGCTGTTAGGTTCGGCCTTGAGAATGTCATGACTGGGAAAACAAAACGTCTGATGAATGACATAAATAAATAGTTATCAGAGGAGATGATACATGACCAACACAACAGCTGATGAAAAGGCAGATGCAAGCACAGCTGCTTTTTTTCTTGAGACTTGAAATCTGTTTTTTTTTTTTTAGATCATTAATTCAGAAAACATTCCCTACTGCTTTGTTGTCCTTAAGGGGATAGCATATGCAGTTCAAAAATTGTATTAAAACAACATTTTATATATACACCGATCAGCCATAACATTAAAACCAGCGACATTGATTATCTCATTACATTGGCATCTGTCAAGGGTGCCATTACATGCTAGGCTCGTGAACAGTCAGTTCTTGAAGTTGATGAGTTGGAAGCAGGAAAAAAATGGGCAAGTGAAAGGATCAGAATGACATTGACAAGGGCCAAATAGGGATGGCTAGACAGCTGGGTCAGAGACTCTTCAAAATGACATTTTTGAGATGGTATTGTGGGGTGTTCCCAGTATGTAGTGATCAGTTCCTACCAAAAGCAGTCCAAGGAAGGCCACCCATTGAACTGCCGAGGGGGTCATGGGTGCAGAAGACTCATTGACAATGTATCTGAGGAGTGAAGGCTAGCCTGTCTGGTCCGATTCCATGGGAGAGCTACTGTAGTGCGAATTGCTGAAGAAGTTAATGCTGACTATGATAGAAAGGTGTTAGAACTCACAATGCATCGCAGCTTGCTGCGTACGGGGCTGCACAGTTGCAGATCGGTCAAAGTGCCACCAAAAGTGCCTACAATGGGCACATGGAGCAATGGAAGAAGGTGGCCTGGTCTGATGAGTCACGTTTCCTGTTACATCATGTGGATAGCCAGGTGCATGTGCACCATTTACCTCGGGAAGAGATGGAGGCAGGATGCACTATGGGAAGAAGGCAAGCTGGAGGAGGCAGTGTGATGCTCTGGCCAATGTTCTGCTGGGAAACCTTGGGTTCTGGCATTCATGTGGATGTTACTTTGACCACCTACCTAAACATTGTTGCAGACCAAGTACACCCCCTTCATGGCAACGGTATTCCCCAATGGCAGTGGCCTCCTTCAGCCACACTGCAAAAATTGTTCAAAAATGGTTTAAGAACGTGGAAAAGAGTTCAAGGTGTTGACTTGACCTCCAAACTCCCCAGATCTCCAGCCAATTGCATATCTGTGGGGAATAATGCTCGAAAAACAGGTCCGATCCGTGGGGGCCCCACCTTGCAACTTACAGGACTTACAGGATCTGCTGCTAACGTCTTGGTGCCAGATTGTGGAGTCCGTGCCTTGACAGGTTGGAGCTCTTTTGGCAACACGATGGGGACCTATACAATATTAGGTAGGTGGTTTTAATATTATGGCAGATCAGTGTATTAGATTCATATGCAAGGATCTGCTCCTCAAATGATGAAAGTTCAGCTGCAGTAAGAGGTCCAGTTGAGTGCCGGAGCATAATGTAACAAGTTAGGTTTCATATCCTGAGCTTTTGGTGTTTCGTATCACACTGATCACAGAGTTCTTTTCACTTTCTCGCTCTCCTGCAATGCAATCACTTTCAACAGCTATCCTATCAGCAGGAGCCATGGAGATATCATAGAGTTTGTTCTGGTTAGAAGGAGATCAATAGAGATTTGGCTCTCAGGCAGATTTCTGTGTCCGTGTAATTATTTTTCTGCCATCTGTGTGAAAACATAATCACTTAATGCTCTTTATAAGCGTCTCTCTCTGCCTTTGAACAAATACGATAAATCTATCTCCAGGATGATTCTTTTTTCACAAACACTTCCTCTTGTTGACTCCCTGACACTTATGACCATCTTACACATTGGCACCAAGTAACAGATTCGCAGCATCGCTTGCACTACAAGCTGAGCACTCAGCGTGTGATCGATTCCCACCTATAAGGAAGACTGTGTGCACACATTGTGCCTTTCTGGGTGACACAGATGGTGCTCTGGCAAGTCCCCTCGATGCTGGGGAACCTCAGTCAACTTTGTCCTTTAATGCTGGAAGATGCTACAAACTATTTTGTGAGGATTGTTACAGCGTTTTTCAGCATCCTTTCCATGGTTGTTTACATAACTCGGTTAAGAATATCTACATTATTATATTATATTATATTATATTATTATATTATATGTGGTGATAAGATTAATCAGCATAAGAATACATAAGCCTGACATCCTCGCCCAAAAAGGTGTGCAAGTCAGTAGCTATATAATGGATTGCTACATATTGCATGAATGCCTGATTAAATTCTTTAAAGCTCGTTATGAAACTGGGTTACTGTAGCCGCGCGGCAGAGAAACAGCATGTCCTTAAAACGCTCGCCGTTCTGCCGTTACGTAAGTGCTGGAGATTGGGAACGCCATGACATACAATAACACTGACTGCATTTCGTGTTGTTGACTATGGCTGAAACCTCGTTCATGTCATCTCTGGGACACCACTGAGCCCCAGAGCATGAATCTTGCACAAGTACTTCTTTTTTATATGTTGAAAAGAATCATGTAAATGCAAATGAGATTTACAGTTTTTTTTTTTTTTTTTTTAAAGCCACATTAAAGTGTTATATTTGATTTTGCAGTGTTCTCATTGCTGGAGAAAGCCTGGGTAACTGGTCAGCTGCCAATCCAGGTATAACCCCACTGCAAATATGCAGCTTTAGACTGGGATCAAACGAAGTCGATGAAAAATGTAACAGCTGCTGTTTGCACCAGGGACCTTAATTAAGGGGTAATTTTATGTAGAGTGTTGCTATTGCTCCTTTGAAATCTGGCCCTTTGATTCCTGCCCACTGACCCCTATTCTGACTGAAACCAAGTGGGTTTTCCAGAACCAGCTAACTAGTGACCTGCCGGCTGTGAATAAGCTTTTGAGGCTGCTGTCGCTGACGTGTTTGTCTTTCTGCAGCTCTCCACGGGGGCGGATTCGTTAGCAGGACACTTTGATTAAAATACTGGTGCGCGCCTGGGTTTCTTGTAGTCACACAGAATTATCTTATGCTTGGGTTCTGAATAGAGAGCGGATTATGCCTGTTGAAATCCATTTAAATAATACCTCTACCACATTTCCCCAGTATGGCCATGTAAGAACTGAGCGTTGCTTTGAGCTTAAGCAGACTGGTTCACCGGGCGACCATAGGCCACACAGCACAAGCTTTTAGATCAGGGGTGGGCAATCTTATCCAGAAAGGGCCACTGTATATGCAGGTTTTTCCTGCAACTTCCTAAATAGATTATTAGAGGACTGATTGGATGAAGAGTCCTCACACCTGGGTTTGAACAGCTGACCCACAGGTTATCCCAAAAACCTGCATACACACCGGCCCTTTGCGGATAAGATTGCCCACCCCTGTTTTAGATCCAGTCATCCCTCGATAGGACTACCATCAAAATCTAAACGGAACGCTGCTGGAGGGAAGATTTGCAGGTTTTACTGTAACAGGCACGGGAACGGAACACTGTGTGAGCAAGCTGGCTTTACACTTGATGGAAGGGAGTGAGGGCAGCTCGGAATGGAGATCATTAACGCATGTGAGCTGCGGGCCTGACGCTGCCTAATTGAGGAAGACGTGGTCGGCTGCTGCTTGCGCTGGGATAGCTCCTCACAGTGTCTAAAACGTAGGTAAGGTTCTGGAAATACTGGTTCTGCTTGGCTTTACTCCCTCTAACGTGTGGCGTTAAAAACGGGATCTCAGGCTCAGTACCTGGCCAACTTGGTTGCACATGCAAGTCTGTTTATTCGGAGACTTCCGCTGTGGTGCAGCTTTGCGTCGGCCGAGTGAGAAACACGACTTTTGCTTGTGTAACGGCAGCGGCTGAGGTGCAGGTTAACTTTAAGGTCACGCAAATCTGAAGGAGCTTAACTTCCAAGCCATCTCGTCGCAGGAAACTAGAATTGCCTGCCACGATATAAACTTACTATTAACCAAAGCTTATAAAGTCATTTTTTCACCTCAGAAAGTTCTACCCTATATTTAGGCCATTTATCAGAAGTGTTGGTTGGGCTGGTTGGTTTTGGCAAATGCACACATAGCAGGAAACCACTTCAGCCCTGCCTGATTTGGGTTCTTTTTCTGAGAACGCAAAATGCTAGATCCCCCCTCCCCACAGCAATTTAAGATATCTCTGTACACACTGGTGCCAAACACATGTGAAATAGTCTCCATCTTCAATTAGGTCGTGATAGGGGAGGAGAAATCCAGCCCAGAGCGACTGAAGTCAGTGGTTGCTTAGATACTACAGATTTTGTGTATCGGGTCAAATTTGTGTTCAGAAGCTGCTAATGCAAATGAGTTACTACCATCCTCAGGAAAAACAAGGCCATTTCCAGTTGGGTAAATTGTAAATTTTATTGGAAAACAAAAATATACAACTTGGAATGGATTCTTTGAGGCATGGCTGTGCCATAAGCAGTTTAAAAAAAAGAAAAGAAAAGGAAAAGTGACTAAAACGTTAAAAAGCATAGTAAGAATCAAACAAAGTTCTCTGGTATAGAACAGCAGATACAAAAAGTTAGTGTACGAGTACCTAGCGGAAAACACCCGTTGTTTTTTTTTCTTTTTTTGCAATATAGTGCAATGCTGAGATTTTTTCTGTATACTTTGTCCATAGTCCATGCAGAGTCGTCCTCCACATCAAAAAGGTTAACATGCCACTTCCAATTGACAGGCAGCCCCAATGTCACCTTATGCTGGGGTGCTGGCTGCAGGGCAGAAAGGCTCCAGGCCACACCCAGCCCCCATCCATGTGACCATTCTTCACCCAAAAACAAACCAAAAATAAAATAAAAATAAATGATAGCAAAATAAAGGGAAATGAGGACTTGAATCCTAATTAGTATACATGCAGTTCCTTTGGACAGCAGGGGAAGGGACAGAAACATTTTACAGATAAATTAAAGAAAAAGCTAATTTTATACAAGAAAAAAAAAATCTGTACAAGGCCATCACTTTGCCGTCATCATTTGTACAAACTCTGTAAAGAGACAAGAGGGAGATAGATTAGTTGTGTAACAACCAATCAACTCTCTTTATGCATGAATGGATATAATGAGTCAAGACTACAATGAGCCAATCAGAAGCAGGACAGTAAGGAGTCACACAGATGAAAAGACCAATAAAAGGGCTGTTCTCATGGCTCCATGCATTAACATTCAGATTGTAAAATGCTGTATGTGAGCAAGGTCAGATGTGAACCCTGGTAAATTGTCATACCTACCTTCATAGTTGACCTGACCATCTCCATCAATGTCTGCTTCCCTGATCATTTCATCAACCTCCTCGTCCGTCAGCTTCTCGCCCAAGTTTGTCATAACGTGGCGCAGCTCTGCGGCACTGATGTACCCATTTCCGTCCTGCAGCGGGGGGTGGGGGGGAGGTCAGTCACATTCACTTCTGCTCCCGCTGACACATTCACATTCCTTACAGTCGGAAGCTCAGTCACCTAGTTACCTTGTCAAAGACACGGAATGCTTCCCTGATTTCCTCCTCGCTGTCTGTGTCCTTCATTTTCCTTGCCATCATCGTCAGGAATTCTGGGAAGTCTATTGTGCCATTTCCTGGAGGGAAACATTTAAGTGTGCTTTAGCCCTGTGAAGTTACAGTTTGGGTGAATAACAGAGTTTGGAGGAATGGTAGCTCCCACTGTTGGGAAAGTCCTTGGTTCCTCACCATCAGCATCCACCTCATTGATCATGTCCTGCAGCTCTGCTTCTGTTGGATTCTGGCCCAGGGATCTCATGACTGTACCCAACTCCTTTGTGGTGATGGTTCCATCACCGTCCTTATCAAATAGCGAGAAAGCCTCCTTGAATTCTGCGAGAAGGAACAGGAGAACGTGGATGGCTTTAGAGGGAATCACCGCCATGTTCTGAACTATCTGCTAAGAAGTGGCTGATGCTTAGCGCTTCGAGTTTGCTTAAAAGCCCAGTCCTTGCCCACAGAGAATCTGTGCGGTTTACCTCCAATCCGCCCAGAGCGTATTACTGGACAATTTTCCTATGGTTCATCTTAGAGAATGAGTGTGTTAATGGAAGAGCAAAGATGACGAGGGGAAATTATTGACTCCGAAGAAATGCATTAGCACTACAAGGTACTCAGCAGGGGGAATTGGGCCACCCATCAGATGTTGTAACCCAGCAACATCAATCGCTGCCTGGCCCATTAGCTCAGGGTGCGGCATCACTGGGCGCTCCAGCCCCCCCCCATGCAACACCGCATCAGATGTGCACGCCATGGGGAACAACTCAAGCCCGCGAGCCAACGGGATGTCACCAGTTACGAGAACGCTACCGGGGGAGCAGATAGTCCTTGACAGTTTGACACGGCAAATTGGAATCAGCCTCAACAAAGAGCAGCTTGTCAGACTTGTGCCAGCTGACACGCTCCAGGCCTGATTACGGGAAAGCAGGCGGTGTGGATGTGACTGTGGTCTCCATGCCACCAGGCCCGCCGTGAAAAAAAAAGACGCTGGCTGCTTCTTCTGATGAATAACTTATGTAACCCGTGAGAGGATCACTTGACTGAAGTCACAGGCAATTTGGTGAAGTGATATGCTTTGCATAGCAAGACACCAACTGAACAACTACAAATAACCTATTACATGGTCCACCAATGTTGTTAACAAGCCCTTTCTGGACGACACATATGTAAACAGGAAAAGAAAGTTCTGTTTCCTTGGGATAGCATCCAATTACAGGAGTCTTCTGCAAAACTATTTAAAAATCCAACAACCACCACACCCCATACAAAATTAAACCAAATATTATGTTTTTTCTCCCACAGGACAGCAGCATTTGCCCTCAACTGCTGTATAATCCTCTCCTCCTCCATTTAACCTGAATATACAGAGATCATTATATTCCTGAGAGCTGCAATTCAACCAAGCATTTCAACGAAATTAACACAGCTGGGCGACGCTGCTGTTCTGACGTCTAGCGAGAGTCACACCCACTGCTTCCACACTGCATATCCAGACTTTTGCTCAGTTTTCCTGCCACGGGGCCAGTCGCCGCATTTGGTAATCAAATGCAGTTTTGATGCGCCACAAACTCTCCGACGTCAGCTGTGCAGACTCCCCAACGCTGGTTTCCATATGGTAACGTGTTGCAAATGCAGCCTGCCCTTCCAAATCAGCGATAAAATGTAAAGCACTTTCCATGAACTGGGTCTTTCTGCTGGTGTGAAAATGCCGTTGGGACTGGGAACTCTGCGGGGTAGGTCTCCCCCTCCCCCCCGACACACGAGTGTTTTAAATGGTCTGTCCAGAGGAAAGCCTTAAAAGGCAAAAAATAATCCGGGGAGAGACCGACAATGGTAATTGGCAACATTGCAAGAAACCATGCCGCAACTCGTGTGTCTTGCAGACAGCACTGATGGAGGGAGGAGAGAGGGACCTTACCGGCAATCTGCTCTTCTGTCAGCTGATCAGCCTGTAAGAAACCATAAACTAGGTTAAGTGATAGGCATCTACATTACTGCTGAGTGCACATGTAATGGATCACAGTCTTGCAGGCTCATTCACAGATGAACCCTTCGCTTTTGAAGTTGCACGTTTTAATCCACATTTTGGCGCAGTATTCGGTTAAATTACACTCTGGAGCTACAACCACACTCCAATTAAGCAAGAGGGACAGGAATATCTTGGCTTGTAAGGTTTTTGTTTTGTTTTTAACTCACCAGCGTTTAAATGAGCAATCCCAAGGTAACCACTCACTTCACACGCCCCCCCCCCTACCTTTGCGCAATGTCGCCCAGTAAAGTTACGCCTATATGGCGCAATAAACTTGTCATGTACTACATTCAGACTTCAGATGTATTACTATCAATTAATATCAAGTTAGTAAATATGGGTGATCATTAACCAGAGTCCGCCTGCAAAACGCACTATTCATACGGGGTGCAGGCATCGGGGGAGCCGCGAATCTGCGCAGACAGCCGGACATCGACAGATCAAACTCCGTAAGATCCTGGGAACTGGTTTGAGGACCGATACCGTTTTGCCGGGCCGGGAATCACATCCCCACCCAACGACCAAGACTTCGGTTCTGCACTAGGTGTGGTTAGGCGGCCGCAGTCTTTTCCGGAGTCGTTCCGCACATCATGTTACGTTTGGCTGAGCGTGTCGCCCGATCAGTCTTTCCTCATGATGCCGGTAATCCAGAGGATACGAAGCGGTCTGCGGACTAAAACGCCCGAAGGGGCACGACTGGGAACAACTGTCCATACGCGTGGATACCCCGATCGAGACAAAAATCAACACTGTTACAGAATACGCAGAGGCTAATGAAGAAAAACAAAATCACTGTACATAATAAGAAAAACGAGACAAAGAAACCGAACTACAGCAACAGGCGGGAGACGGCCCCGCTGTCATTTCACTCTTACACCCCCACTTCTCTCCCCAACGGCAATGCAATCCTGATACAGCATACACCGAGAAAGTTATTAATGACTATTTTAATCAGAAAGTGAAAACAAAACAACTATACACGCTTCAACAAATTTAAATCCCGATCTTCGTCCCTGATGCACATAAAAACTCCGGCCGGACAAGTAATTTGCACAGCTATGGAAATTTCTCACTGGCTCAAGTTCTTAAATGACTCAAGGCGAGAGTGCCCTCCATTGATACAGTAGCTATAACAGGATGTGAAAATACTCACCATTTTTGTTATTCTTCTTCACGCTGTCACACTACAAGTACAACACTCCCCTCTCCGGTAACGCACTGGATGATAGCAGATCGCCTCCCACCCGCCTTTAACGGTTGTTCATAAACTCCGCCCCCTCAGTGTATCCCTTCGCTCACCGTACCTTCCTTCAAATTTTCAAGACGGAGTTACAAATACTATTAACGCTATTTCACTATATAATTAAACATTTCGTTATAAAACAAATTATATAAAGTGAACGGAACCGATCATTTTCTGCGTATAATTAGGTGTTCGTACCGACATATGTGGAACTATCAAAGCGCGGAGGTGAAAATTCTGTAGGTTAGTAATGCAGCCTGCACCGTATAGGACGCGGTAGGAAGAGTAGAACGATTCTGATTGGTGCATTCATACCTGCAATGCGTCACTCCCTTGGACATGCATGGTAGCGCTAGACTGCACATGCACTGCTGGAGGCACAGGGAAAGATGCGTTGTGCGATTATGGCTGTCTGCAAGCGTGGCCCGATAGCCGGGACCAGACAGTGCTCCATTAATAATACACCTAAGTGTATTATTATATCTTTATGCACTCATCTTTAAAGGCATTTTCCTTTCTTGCTAGTACTGTGATGTCAGTAGATTGTTGCAGAAGAAAACATGAATTAAATTGCCTTGGTTTTTACATTTGCGGCATGACATGAATCAGACTGGTCTGTGTTTCTTACTGCATGAAGAAAGTGGATGAAGAAAACTAGAAAATGGCATTCAGCTTGAAAGGATATTTGGTCTTTGCTGCGTGGGGCATTCTGGTCAGTCTCTGTTCATGTAACACAAACACATTATGCAATATTGTTATTTTTGTGTTTTGTGGTCGATCTGAGGCATAAGATCGATTGCTGTAGACCAACAGGTAAGGCACACACCTGGCCCAACAAAATGACAGTGGAAACCATACATGACGTTAGTTGTAGTACTGGGTATTAAGTCAGTAAAAATACAATGAGCAACACCCTGATTTTTTTGTTGGCGATCAGCATCAAACATAGCAATGCACATTCCACAGAAACAAAGATGTTTACGATGCAATTGAGCACCACCTTTCACTCACTATTTTAGGAGGTTAGTTTTTCTATTATTTGATTTATGCCACGGCAGCTCGGTGGAAACGGCATGACGGCCAGGTTTATGAAAGTGCTGATAACTGTGGAGTGACGGTTCTTTTTTCATTACAGGTATCTGAACCGGTTCTTTTCACTGCATTCTTCGCGCTCATTAATTTAGTTCTGGGTTAACCATGCAACTAATACCGCAGATCACGTAATTAAAAAATTATACAGGGGACATAATGTGCCTTTTAGTGACAGAAGTGCCGCACCGGTTCCCCGGGAAAATATCCAAATAGATGGGAAAAACGGGGAGGGGTTGAATATCGACCAAAATAAATTCAGCGCTGCTGGCAGATGAATTACTGTGGATCAATGCACGGAGCTCTCCGGCGGCCGATCGGCTGCCTCCCAACGCCTCTGCAGGCCAATAGTCCCCGGCCGGGCGCTGTGGAAGCTGCAGTGTGGCGGAGGAGGGGCCGGCCGGCCCACTGGGACACATCGGCTGCGTCGCAAATTTGGGTCAAGAGTGTTAGGCGTCTCCGGGTCCGTTTGGCGTCGACGTCGTAGTCCTCCTACTGCCCTCAGCTCGTTTTATTTTTAATAAACGGGGCCAGGTCAAAAACGGAAAAAAGTTTGCACACGTCGTTCTGAGTCTGGCCTATTAAAAAAAAAAATGTAAAGAGACTGAATGGCCGCAAAGGGCCGGATTCCACCTGTGGCTTCTACGCGAATTGTCCCTTTTAGTATTTTTAAAGCTTAATTCAGGTGGAGGGGCCTAAGTATTTGTAACATTTGTATGGTTTGTTGTAATGACATGAAATACTATATGCTATATACATTGTGCAATTTCTGTAGAGAATATGAGTAATTATTTGGGGGGCTGAATGAAACAGGTGGTTAGGGTAATCATTGTCTGATACCCATATTGCAGTCAGTGACTGGTGTATTTTATTGTTTATTTGTGTGACTTCTTCATAGCTAAGTGAAAAGTGAAAAGATCTTCATTTGAATGTGACGTGTCCAGGCTGTGATGCGTTCTGAACCCCATTATTGCGTCATGCGAGCCACAGATCCTCAGCATAGTGTCTGCCAAGTACCGAGGACGGTGTTTTGACCTCCGTGCTCAGTGACGGCCACGAGCAGGTCGTCTAACTTCTCCACCCTGCTTGGTTTGAACAGCTCCCTCAGCTCGTTGGATTCCGCATCTCATAGCTGTCTAGCTGTTTCCTGTCCTCGCTATTAACTTGAGATCTCAGGGGGAAAGTCCTCTAATTACCCTTGTTTATAATTTCTTACAATCACTTCTTTGTTGTTGTGTGTGTTTACAGTCAATGCAACACATGCTGTGCTGATTAATTTTTTAATAGCCGTACTGATGTTGCTTAGCGTTTCCAGGTGACATTTTGTTTCCGTTGATTGACCTCAGACTGGCATGTGGGAACCACCGATTTCACACATTCTGGCTCTATCTTGAAAACACAGGAGCCCTTTTCATTGAGATTTGTTTATTTCTTTGCTAAGGCCCTGCCCGTCTGGTTGCTGGGATAAGCTCCCCCTTTTGTGCAAGGGTGCACATGCGCGGGTGCTTGTTTGTTCCAGAATTGTAATCTTCTACACTGTTGGTGGAGGTGGGGGGTGAGGGGGGCATCCAGCGGTTTGTTTGTTCCTGGCGCACGTGCTCTGTAGAGGCCAATGAGGTTTTTTTGGATGCAGTTTGCAAGAACTTTTATGCGTACTGAAAACAGGGCTTTGTAATTACACAATAATGGGATGGACAATAAACAAAAGTCATTTAATACCTGCAAAGCCTTACTGGCCTCCTTCTGCTCAACTTGAAATTTGTTTTTCACTTTTAAATCCATGACTTGTTTTGCCCTTGAAATCTCGTTAAGGTCACAGGAGGGGTTAAAGGTGTGTGTGTGTGTGTATGTATATATACAATGTGTGTAATATATATAATATACATACACACTGTATATATACATTGTACTGGGCAGGCAATCAATGAAAATGTTTAAGGCTGTTTATCTGTGTAGGCAGTGTATATTTCCTCAGGAAAAAAAAACGCATTTTCACATTGGAACATATGCAAATGAACAGTAACATAATACAAAATAAATTTCTTCTGTTCTCCAGAAAGTTACTGATATCTTGTCAGATAGTTAGATGAACTGAAGTGCATCTAACCTTTCAGGTCCCAAACCTCTCCTCAGGGATACCACAACTATTCCATGTATTCCTTAAATTTCACCACCTGCTCAATTAATCAATTAACTTAATCAGATAACTTTATGAGGTATTGATTAGCTAAACAAGGTGGGGTAGTGGTTGAGTCAAAAAATTACTTGGCTGTATTGGACAGGGGGACTTTAGGAGAGGTTTACCTAAGCTGACATGCTTTGACAGACATCATAATTTTATACCAACATGAAGATCATTTAAACGTAAGTTTTCTGACTGCCTAAGACTTTTGCACAGTGGTATATACACAGACACACAGAGAGACAGACACACACACACATATAGACAAAAGTATTGGGATTCACCTCTTAATCACTGAATTCAGGTGTTTCATTCAGACCCATTGCCACGGGCGTATAAATTCAAACACCTAGCCATGCAGTCAGGTTTACAAACATTTGTGAAGGGATGGGTTGTTCTGAAATATATGTATGTATGTATGTATATATATATATATATATATATATAAATCTCAATACAAACCTCAGGGACTGAAGCATTTTAAAGAGTTTCTGCCCTTTAAGGCTGTGGATTATAAAGAAAGTCGCGGTGGTAGCCATAGGCTGCAGTAGGGCCTGCCTTCACCACTGGGTTGAGCTCTACATCTCGTTCCGTTCACTTCCCCCCTGCCTCCTGGTTGCGTAACCCCTGATATGCCTTTTGCTCCATACCCAAACAAAGCCTTATCAGACAGCGCTACAAAGTGCTCTCTTGACAGCGTTACAGCGGCGATACGCCCTTCCTGATAGGAAGTGGTATGTGGAGGCCTATTACTCTGCTCTGCGGGGCTTTGAGGCTGCAGTAAAGCTCATCAGGCCTGTTCTGGAACATGGAGATCCCCTGGAGCTGGGCATGGCTTACCCTCAAATGCAACTGGGGAGAAATACAAGCTTCACGGCTGTGGCCGGCTTTTGAACCTTTCAGTAGCAAACCCAGAATTGCTTCTATAATATCTCTAGTTGTATAAATGCATAATGGATAAATTGGCAGGTGTAGCAGTAATAATATGAAAAGGTGCGGTTTTTAGGTAAGGAAGGTGTATTTACCTCATACTGCCAGTTATGGGGCCAATGAGAAAATCAAGAAACGTGTTGACATGGCGCTTCACTCCGTGTTCAGTGCTGTCATTTAATCAGGTGTGTGTCGGCATGTGTGGAAAGTGTATACCAAAGGAATCAAGTGACCTGTGTGTTTGCTAACATCAGGGTAGGGAAAAAGGTGAGAATATCTTTTACGACTTTTATGATGGACTTAAGCTGATCCAAAGGTCTCCAGAACTGTGTCAGCAATGCAGAGGTGATGTAAAGCCAGCTTCCCTGCCCTGGGCCACCTGTCTGTCTTTGTAGGTTTGTCACGGTTGCACTGAGGATCAACAACTGTGAAATAATTTTTTTAGCATTTGAGGCTTTAAGTCAGAAAAGAGACTGTGTGGGGAAAAGGGCCTTTATTTTCATGTCTTTGAATCAGAATCAGATCAGAGGTTACTTGCGATTTGACCATGGGATGCCCCTCTAGAATGGCAGTGTGAGATTAGCACTCATAATGCTTTGGGTTTTATTATAAAGTAAAGTGGTAGAGGATTGTGGGTAGGAGGTGAGTGGGTCCTGACTATTTGTGCATGTGTTATGGTGGGTGAAGAAGAAGAGCAGGGAATGTCTGACTAATACACCTGAATGAACCCTAGATTTCCCTGAAAGGCAGCGGGTGCCTAGATGTCACTCTCTATTCTCCAAACTCTAAGCCTAGTAGTAACGTCTCATTTAAACCTCTGAATGGCGCCAGGCCTGCTAAATCCCAAAATACTGTCGTATCCAAGTGTGTTTGTACTGGGAGTGCGCCTCTGTGTCCTCAGCTCTGGAATTTTGGCTCTGGGGACGGTTTGTGCCCTGCAATAAACTTAAAGTGGCTTGATGATCTGACTTTTGCCCTGGGATAAATCCATAGCTGATAAGTCTGTGTTTCTAAGGCGCTGACATAGTCTTTGCTCTTTTTATGTATCACTTTCTCTCATTTTTTTATAACAAGATGCCCTATTGCAGCTGTTAGGAACAGAATCAGCTTCTGGCTCTCGTCATTATAACGTAGCAGTACCATCAGTCCTGACTGCCATTTCATGGAAGGCTGTAGTGTCCTGTACTTCCTAAAGTGCTGTGTTCCCCCGCAGCCATTTTGTTTGTGACTTCTAGCACTGACCCCTGTGCTGCAACATTGGGGACTGAATGAGACACGTGTTTTTGGACCCAAACAACTGACTCTTTCATACCATGACTACACTCTGAACTTCACCAGAGTGTTACAGAAGCTGATCTAAAGTGGGAGGAGGGTTGCCCCTCCCCATCCCTGAGATAGTCAGAAAGTCATGCACGCGCTCGCTGTTGCGTCCTGCCTGTTATGAATTATTAACTCACCTGCATTATCAGCTCCAAGACAATAAAATGGGATGAATGCATTCTAAGTGCAGAGTCCATTGCCGTGACTACAACTTTCTGCTGATTCCCTATGCAGACATTAATAGATATTTACATGTGTGCTAGCTGTCCGTGAACCTGCCTAGATTAATCTCTCTGTAATGAACAATTTAAGCAAACATGACTTCTTTGATTTTGTGGGACTGTTACTGTGGTGCATATTTTTTATGTAGCAGTTAATCATTTTAATATGTCAGTGTTTGTTTTGTATCCAGCGTAAATGAGTACATCGAGAGGAGTATATTCAATGCAAAGCATGACAAAATACACACAGTCACTCTGAATCAAATAGCTTGAAAGGTAATGGTTTTATTAAGGATGATGTCAAGAGGACGCAAACCACAATGAAGGGAGGCTGGGAGGTAGCAACTGGGGTTATTTATGCCTTCATTTGCTAAGTTTTTCACAAATGTTAAGCACGGGGTATTTACAAGTAAGTACCAGCACTTAATATTTAATGAACAGTTTTCAGGTCATGGCTGACTGCTTGTTTTGACATGGCTCTCCGTTTGCAGTTGAGCAAATGGATTTTTTTTCCGCTTGACTTACCTGTGAGCTTCAGGCCTGTCCAAGAGTCACTCATTAATCAAGTAACCCGATGCCTTTTACGTGGACGGCGCTACTCGGTAAATTACGCTCTGTATATCCGCGTTTCCCAGGCCAGTGTGGTCGGTGCCATGCATCAATCTCATGTGAGACCTGGAAGGGTGGGCCTGCCTCTTCTCTGACATGCTTCCTGTTGCTGACCTATAAAAAGTCCCATTGACCACATATGAGGATAATGTTTGTAGAATGTGCTGCTTTTGGACAGTATTATGTGTGTATAGAGGTGTATATGTGTCGTTATATATAATAGTACGATTCATATAGACACGTACCATACTAGACTGTGGACTGTTGGTATTTTTAGTCACACGATGACTTGTTCCTTTGTCATGTTTTACCACCGCTGTGTCTGATCCTGAATCAGTGCAGCACTTCCGCAGGTTATACTGTGTTCCACAGTCCCATAATCCGCTGGACTGCGCCCCGAGACTCTGGCTGGAATCTGTGACTCAGCTGTGCGTCGTGACTCTGCCTTCACCCGGCCGACATGCTGGGCTCTGCAGCGCTGCTTTCCGCTTCATGCGGCTGCAGCACAGCTGCGGCGCCATGCCCCGCCCCCGCAGAGGTCTGCAGCCAGTCCCGGGGCGCGAGACGCCACATCTGGCCGTCCTCCAGGGAGCTGCGGCCGCTCTGGCGCATCGGAAACCTCGCTCAGGTGCTGTCATCCTAATGTGGGGGCGAGACTGTTGGCAGCCCCCCCGCCGCACCCCCGCAGTCAGGACAACAGTCAGAGCGAGAAGCTCCGAGATACAACTTTGTCTTGACTCCTGTGTCTCTTTGCCCACTTTGTTCTTTAGCTTTGGTGAGGCAGTGAATCGCCTAAATGTCTTGGTGCTGCAGGGTAAAAGCCAGACGCTCTTCGCCAGACACACGCAGAGCCGCAAATGCGGAGTTCTCTGACAAATGAGGCCTTAATCAAGGACGACCAACCACTTCCCTGACGCAGCGCCAGCCTCATTCAGAGCTCACAATTACACCGATATTTCCTTAATTGCTATTTGAAACATATGCACAACTGATTAAGACTGACAGAGAGCAACATAGGGGAGAAGAACAGTGAAGGAGACATGAGCGTTTCATGCCGTCTTTGAACCTCAAGCCTGGGATGGTTTGGGGACACTTGTGAGGTTCTTCTTTGCAGCAATGATCTTAAAAACAGCAATGGTGTGCTACTGAGTCACGTGGGCCTTTGTAAGGCTGGTCCTGCCATAGGTTGCCTGCTCCTGACACCAAGTGGTGTGTACAGGTACTGCAGGCTGACAATGGTGGCGCATGTTTTACTTTATGAATCTGGTGCCCTATAGACTTTCCAGCCGTAGCTGAATCTGGGAGGAGTAACAGTGCTTAAATGAAGGTGAGAGTAGGAGGCCCTGTTGCTTATCTTTTATTATATATTCTGAAATTCCTTCATATGTTCTCTCAGGTTGTAAATGATGTTTATTGCTGTACATTGTAGCAAAAAACTGTCCATATAGCTTTTCTTTTCAACAATACTGGTATATTTTTTTCCATCCCCATCATCAGTTCTCCGGATATTTGACTGTTTTTGTTTAATTTCCGGTTTTAATCTGATTGTAACACGACACGTAGTTGTCATTATGACAATTTATGATGGTTTCAAATACTTGTCAGTCCAATCAGCAATCAGCAGACATAAATACAGCATTGATTCTGCTCAGCATTCATATGCAGTGGATGGTTGGGTTCAGGCTCGTTTCGAGTAACCAAACTCTCGCTACCGGTAGCAATCGCTGACTGTGATGCCGTCTATGACACGAGGGCTGCTGTGACTTCTGTAGTGTAATGCTGGGTCCAGGTAGTTGAAGGGAGGGAGATTGTACTGGCCCAGGCTGTACTCTGGTACGATGTGGGGAATTCTGCGGGTGAAAGGAAAGGAGATGAGAGAGACTGAATGCATCCATAGACATACAGGCCCCCACTGATCAAGGATCAGATATACTAACTTGAAAAACGGCCCCCTGAACTCTACAGACGCTCCTGTAACTCTCTAGACGTCTAGTACGACTTCTGGCCACTTCTCCCGCCGCACAGCAGCGTAGCGTGCGATCTCCCAGCATCCTAGTTTTTTGTACTTGCTAATACCCTAAAAATGACTTACGGACATTTCAAGTTATGAACGGCCGGTCGGAACATAACTCGTTCGTAAGTAGAGTAGCGTCTGTGTATTAAAAACAATGGTCAGTAGTTCAGTAAGTGAATCATTGCCTGTTTCCTAGGGGTCCATTTATGTGTAGAAGCACTGGAGACAAGCACAATGACCACTTAATCCATGCCGGAGGGACATTTTGAGGTACTTCAGTGTCACGCCCCGCTCCGTCCGCTCCCGATGTGTGCCACGCCCACCTCGTTACCTCGTGTGATTCCCTGATTGTTCTCACCTGTGATTCGTTACCCTTAGCCTGTCTCTTGTATTTAGTCCGTGTCTAAGTCAGTGTACCCCAGATCTGTTATTGTAGTGTCTGTGAATGTTCCTGCCTGGTTACCCTCCGTCTCAATTAAAACCCTGTTTGTCCGTATTTACGGCTCCAGTCGCCTGCTTTCCGGCTCGCTTGCCCCGCACCGTGACATTCAGGTTTCACAAACTACTTTACCACTGAAAGGCTCCTGTTCTTGGCTAATTAGTTCAATTCTTCTTGTGCTTTTACTGGTTTCCTTGATTGAAAGACTCATCCAGCCGTTCCACATCAATATTACTGACACATGCATGATTATAAGAGACTGACCAATCGGCGCACAGCAAGATCTCACTTCTAATGTGAAATCCAGGTTTTTTTAATTGAAATGGTAGTTTGCAAACCCTGTCCTAGCTCAGAGTGTCACCCTAGGGACAAGCATTCAGCAGTAAGTGGCAGTCCTTAATTGGACAGTGTGACTCCAGAGCCGTGGAGTAACTGACGAGGAGACGTACTCTCCTATGACGGTTTTCTTGTGCGAGCAGCAGAAGCAGGCCAGGGCGGCCAGGAGGAGCAGCAGCAGGAGTGGAATGCCGATGCCCAGCACCAGGCCCAGGATCAAAGACTTCTGATCCTCCAGAGACTGGGACTCTGATTCGCCGGTCCTGTTGACCGCACCGTTATCTGAAGCTGGATACAAAGGCATGAAGCGACAGATGTGCTTGGACATCCGGGGCCGGTCCTGGGAAGACTGCACTGCGTGGAACCCCCCCCCCCCCTCACCTAATATGCAGGACTGGGATTCCACCACATCCATGGTGCCATTGCAGACACACCTGTACCCTCCGTAGGTGTTGGCGCACAGAGCCGGCGCTTGGCACGCCGCCTCCTTGGTGACGCACTCGTCCAGGTCTGCAGGGGGCAGAGGTCAGTGTGTTTAAGGTTAACAAGTCTGCTCCGGTTGCACACTGTCAGGACTGGCAAGTCCTGGTGATGAGAGACAGGCCATATCTGGTGGCGTTAAAATCAAGGTGTTATTGACACTTGTTCTTTCCCTTTTCGCGTGTTCCTAGTTCTGCACCACACTGTCGCTCGTGGGAGTTTTACTTACACAAAAATGCTCTAAGGGCAGAACAAAAAATGATTGGTTCAATGAGATCAGATTGTAGAGGAGGTAGGTCCAAGCAACTAGAGGAGGTGGGACCAACCAATATGATGTCTCGTTCCCGCCTCCTCTGCAATCTGATTGATTATCTCTCTGAACCAATCATTTTTCATTCTGCTTTCAGAACATTTTTGTGCAAGTATAACTCCCATGAGTGTGAGTTTCCCTCTGATGATCTCTAACTGGGCTTGACGTACCTCCAACATGTGCCGCCTGGATGCGGTAGTGCCGGCTTACACGCGTCAGGTAATCCCGCACGTACCAGTGCGGCGTGTCGCTCGACACGTTGATGCGGTACTCGCTGTGTGCCTGGCCTCCATGGCCCACCTTCTTCTCAGCTGCGCTATAGAACTTGTTCTGGAATCCCATCGACAGTATTCGCTGGAGCTGAGGGAAAAGGGCAGCGGCACAGCGGGCCGGGATCATTATATGTTCTGCAAAAGTAGTAACATAATATATCCAATGCTCCCACGCTAACCTTCTGTAGGCCATTCTTCTCGTTGCCTGGATTGTTCCATTGCATGGAAACATTAAAGATGTTAAACCCTGGCGATAGAGCATCACGTCAAAAAAATACCTCGCTGCACGTGAGTATTTCTTCTGAGAGAGAAGTTTCTCCATGCCTCACATTGGGCAGGACCAGCAGAGATCTGCTGAGCATGACGGGATGTACCTGGGGGATTAGCAGAGTCACCTGCAGGTGGATATTGAGATGATGTTACCAATGTGCAAAAAGCTTGTTTACCACAGCTCAGCCAACCAGAGTAATCTCTGAGAATGACTGATTCCATAATTATACGACCATCGCGTGAAATGTGAGTTGACCGGGTCCTGGGGGTGAGTTATTAAATGGTCTCGTGTGGTAGCAGGACGTACCGCAGCCGTCCGACTCCTCGGTGCTCCTGTAACGGCAGGAGCACTGCACTGAGCCTAGTGTGTTGACGCACTCAAACTTGGCATTGGGACAGGCAGACGGATCCATGCACTCATTTATATCTGCAGTGGAAGAACAGAGTGTTCGCAATAGAAGAGCTGCGGATTAACTTTCCAGGTGAATCAAGTTGTCGGCACGATAACAACTGTTCCAGTTAAAAGGAGGGTGGTACACAAACCAGGTTGAATTTCCCAATGAAACATGCATACCGATGTTTCCTCATATGACATGCATACAAGTAATGACTTTTAAATTGATCTCTTAAAGTTACATGACACCACCTCCTTTGTGTCCCTTGAGAGCGCTTAGGGGCTCACTGGATGGCTTCTCAAGGTGGCTTTGAAAATGCGTTGGGACTGTGCGGCCATACCTGTGCAGTTGTGTCCGTTCCCAGTGAAGCCGGGCTTGCACTTGCAGGTGAAGTCGTATCCAGTGCTGGTGCAGTGCGCCATGCTGTGGCACGGGAAGGGGAAAGGAGGGAGGCAGACGTCTGGGAAGTCACACGCCCAGTGTTTTGAGTTACTGCATGATAATCAAGCTGGAATAAACTTAGCCTTCCGTCAAGCTAATTGTGCAAGTTGATAGAAGTGAAGTTACGGACCAAAACTTCTGAATCAAGGTTTGCAATATCAGGTTCTACCTTGAGGAATGTTTTAGACTATTAACAAGTGGGAGACATGTAGTCATATTCTTATAATCCCACCGCTTCAATAGGTACCCAATTCTTTCACCAGCGACCTATTCTTACGTCTCCACGCAAGGCCCACTGACCATTCTCAAAGCACTTGTAGCCCCCCATTCGCTGGTGGGCAGTGTGTGGGGGGCACTCCCCGCATGTGAAGTTATCCCGCTGGGCCTTGCAGGTCACTCCCGGGAAGCAGGGCCGGCCCTTGCAGGCATCAGCGGCGTGCCCACAGAAAGGCCCGGTGAAGCCCTTCGGACACAGACAGCCCACCACCTGGGTGAGAATGGGAGAAGGAGCTGCAGCGAGGGTACGAGGGCTGGGCAAAATCACAGAAACACCTAACAGCATACGCATATTGAGGATCTAATAATGAATAGTGCCACCCTTCACCTTCAGAGCTACATGCAAGGTGAGGTGGGTAGTTCAGGCCCAGAAGGTAAAAAAATCCAGCCCAGGATTTAGTTTCATCCAACCAGTTCAGCATAAAGAGTTACAGTCACAGAGTACTCAGCTGGTTGGTTGAAACAAAATCTTGGGCTGGATTTTTTTTACCTTCAGGGCCTGAACTATCCACCTCTGCATACAAGTCATACAAGTAATACAAGGAATGGAATACTGAACCATTCTTTGAGAACAAAAGCCTTCAGGTCTTTGGAGAATGAAGGAGATGCAATTTTACTTTGTGCTCCAGAATTTCCCATAAAGGTTTATATCTGGTGACAGTGAAGCCATGGGAGGTGTTTGACTGCATCTAGATGTTCATGAAACCTTGAATTCGTTTAGCAGAGTCATTACATTCTTTGAATTTGGAAACATCACATTTGAACACCCCATCACATCTGCACCTGGTCCTGTAAAATGGCTTTATATTGTTTGGCCATTATATGACCATGCAGAACAATGAGTAATGGTTTACATTAACTGCAGCTTCATAATACATTCATTATGCATTGATAGAACATTCATAAGCAGCAATGTATTAAAGCTGTTAAGGTATGTTGGGATGTTAAGGAATGCTTACATGTGGCTTATGAATGTTCTATGAATGCATTATAAAGGTGCTGTTAATGTAAAGTGTTAATGAACAACCAGCTGACTCCCGCAAGATGCCTGCCCATACCAGCAGTCATTATGGTTTTCTCACAATGTAAACCTGTCCAGATGAGGGAGAATTAGTAAAAATGTGTCATCAAACCTTATTAATATTCAGTCACACATGGATCTAGGGTTTTTGCTCCTTATACCAGGATACTGGTACATAGATACTTTGAGATAAGTGCTTTTTATCTTTATGAAGCTCACAACATGTTTGTTGAAACTGCATTAGTCCTTTCCTATGTGATTTTTCCTATAAGTGCATGTTGCAGGTCTCTCCCTGTCATGCGCTCCACTTAAGCTGGAATGCCATAATTACTTCTTTGTCATGAGATACACGCTTGTCTCTAAGTAGGCGGAGGGGTAGCTCTGAGGCTAGGGATCTATGACGGCACTCAGAAAGTTGCAGGTTTGAATCCTGTGAATGCCAGGAGTGATCCTATTCTGTTGAGCACCTTAACCTGTAATTGGTTTGCCTGGGGAATGACGTTAATCTGCACCCAGCCCTGGAAGAAGGTCCTCCAACTTACAGGGAAATTTGTTGGGTGGTGGTAGGATTGGCACTCCAGCCACTGGGGGGGGACTCACTCTGGTCCATTTGGACTAGTGTGGCGCTGAGGTATCACCTCCCACATGGCTGCACTCAGGTTCCTCAGGTTCTCATCCCTGAGGTGGTTTGTTGGACAATACATACTCCTTACCTCTCTCCCATTGAATCCCCTGGGACAAAGCCTTGGAAGGGGGTTCCACAGTGAAGAGGATCTTCATGTTGTTCACCGTGGAATGTGCACAGCCCTCACACATAAACCTTATACTGTCATTGTTGGATGACCTACTCCACGCCTCTTTGTTCATGCATGAAGGCTCTGTTTAAAGTTCCTGAGGGACAGGTACCATAAGTCACTCACCTGGAACTTGCCTTGCAGGTGGTTCTCTGCAATACTGCCATACTGGCAGGTTCCCCCGTTCAAACAGCTGCACAGCTGGATCACGGGGGTGAGCAGGGAGCTGAACTGCTGGTCGGTCACCATGATCGTGAGTGTCACAGGCTGGGCATTTAGTGGCATCCACATGAGAATCCCATTTCCTGCAGCAGTGCAACAGGGAGCAAAACAGGCAGCAGTCAATTACTTTGTATCGAGGGATTCTAGTTTTGCCAACCAAATGTCATGTAAAACAAGTCGGGATGAATTTTAGTTGGGTCAAAAAGTGCTACGTGACTTTTTTGTGAGACTGTGTATATGCTAATGAGCGAGGGAGTCGGGACGTGCTTGAGATTGGATTCCACTGAGCCTGCAGGCTTGCTCACCACTTCCGATCGAGGCCAGCGGGGGGCGAGGGAAGAGCAGGGAGAAGCTGACTGAGTCATTGTTGGGGTCCTGGGCGGTGAATTGGACTCGGAATGTGAAGTTGACCTGGACCTGGATCACCGTGGGATTGGTCACGATGGGGGGCATGTTTCCTACATGACCAATCACGGAGAAGTGAGAATACCATGACTGTCAAACTTCATCGATTCCTTGATCTTGCGCTTTCAGTATTATGTTAAATGCAATGGAACCTGTGCAGCTCAGAAACTTCCGGAAGTAGCTCGCTCACCAAAAATAAGGGCCAGGTTGTGATACCTCTCCTCATTGGCCAGACTCTGAAGGCCCATTTTGGTGTTGTCGGTGGCCAGGATATCATGGACGCACTGCATGCTACCTTTACATTTTTTCTTCAGGTCATCCAGAATAACTGGATTGACTGACATTAGCTCTGCTGTTGTGATTGGTTCCAACAGTTTGGAGGGCGGGCCAGAGTGCAAAAGACTCTCTGGAACTGGCACAGTCCCTGCAACACAGAGCGCACAACAAAATATTTTCCATATTGAAATATATTACACTTTACTTATCTTCACATATTATTATCTGTGTGTCATACAGAATGTGACACTGTTCCCGGTCTGCAGAGTCCCTCATGACCAGTTCCAGTCTCTTCTTGGAAGACCTCAGCCAACCTCATCCCCTACCACTGACTCTATCTTCGTTACTTTCCACAACTGGACTCTCTATTTCTGCATATCCTAATTAAGGCTGATTCTCAGTTCTCTCTTGGGGGGAATTTATCTTGGGGGGTATTTATTTCTATAGCATTTCTGATGTGATTTCCCAAGCACCTTTTGTTCCCAAAACAAATTTTGCACTTGTTACTAGTTACTCATTAGCAGCTGAGTCTAGCAAACCACCAGCCCTGTAGGTATCAGGCAGCTGCACCATCCAATGGGCCAGACCATAACCCCAAAATCACTTTATTTATATTAAGACCCCCATCCCCTTTTTCACTGTGAAAACCACACTGGAATATAGCACTAGCAGGTGTGACATCCAGACCAGACTGGTCACATGCATCACTTACAGGACAGGCCAAAGCTGTGTAGGGCCTCCTCCAATGGCAAGCTGCCCCTGGACCAGGGCAGCGTCCGGCCGCTCGACAGCAGGAAGTCATCGGTGCGACTGGAGCTCCAGAGGCCGAGCAGCCCCACCGTGCGTTGGAAGAAGCGCTGTGGGACATCCACCAGGGCTCCCATGCTGTTTCCGGTCCCCCGCCACACTGCCACATGCAGTCCACCAGCATACACTGCAATGCACTGCTCCAGGGAAGGGCAGCGCACTGCAAAGCCTTCTCTAACCGCATGAACTACACCTGAGCGGCCAGCAGAGGGAGCCATATTAGCAAGGTGGGAAAGAGTGGGTAACACCACTGTATACTGGGTACCAGGGCACTGTAATAGTGTTAAGCAAAGGCACTAAGCTAGTGCATCTGGGGCTTCAGTGAGCCCCAAAGGATTTGCCTTGCACAGATGTTTTAACAGCCATGCTCTCAGTCCGAGGACTGGGGCTAAATCAGAAGTCTTAAGGTCTTAACATCAGTCCTGGTGGTAAGCAAGTAAATAAGTAAGTAAAAGTTTATTTATAAAGCATTTTTCTAAGCAGGATGTACAAAGTGCTTTACAACGAATCTTGAAAGAAACTTATTCCAAAAACATTCAGCACACGACAACATAAAACCAAGACAATAAAATAGAAAATACTAATAAAATAAAACATAAAAGTCAAGCAGCAAATGGTCTGGCAGTATTTAACAGTCCATCCTTTTAATAATTATACAATTTAAAATATAACACTTATCAAGAAACGCAACAGAGCACTGAGATTCCTAGTAATTATTATACCTGCCTGGCCCTCAGTTACCAGATAGGGCAGTCAGACACACCCTGAAGGGGCAGCGCTAACTGTATAGCATGCAGCTGTTGCTGAAAGTTTGTGGATTAGTCCAGAAGTATTCCAACCAAAACTATGACCGTTTGCTGCTTGTCTTTACCATGTGAGTGTGTGCCATGTTTACTGCAGAATACTGTGTGTCTTTGTGATGGGAATGTAGGGAACATGATATAGATCACATGTAAATGATAGTGTAATGCATTGACTCTTACCAGCTTTGACTGGAACATCCAAGTCATCTACCAGAACTGCGAGACCCTCCCCCGATGCACCCGACCGCCACTCCACCTGGGTGCAGGCGCACAACAGCAAAGGCAAATACTACTGACAAAAGTCCTTTTTTAATGCCATGATTGTTTAAGTTTGAAAAGTTTAAGGCTTTTCAGGAACCTGTAAAAGTCCATTTTTTGAGTTGTATGAGATAATTTAGCCAAAGCAGTAAAATGATTAATAACAGGCCAAAGAAATCTATTAAACAATGGACATTACTTTTAAGTTAAACCCAGCTAACTGGGAAATCCTGGGGGGTGTTCCACAAAGCAGGATTTCTCGGTTAGCTGGGTTTAACTTAGCTAGAACTCATGATTGTCCAATAAGAGTTTAGGTAAGGAGCATTTCTATTGGACAAGCAAGACTTCTAGCTAAATTAAACCCAGCTAACCGAGAAATCCTGCGTCGTATAACACCCCCCAGCTTCGTGGAACACCCCCCTGTTCTGCTGCTTGTTGCCCTGTGCCGATTAGTTAATTATGTCCTACACCTGTTCCTTGTTTGCCCTGGTTTTCTATGAGTATTTAAGTGCCTGCCTTGCTCTGTTCTCCAGTGAGTCATTGTTAGATGTTATTCTGTGCAGGATTAGGTGTTGTCACAGTACTCTGTGCTTCTCTGCCTGCTTTCCTTTTGTATGTTTAGTTTCCTCAATAAACCCTGGTTGTCTCTTGAAGCTGCAAGTGGATCGTCGGCATCTTTTCTCTGCCTGCATCATGCCCTGTGCTTGTGACAGTTTATTTGCAGAGATTAAGTGACCACTTTTTGTCAACCTTTATGCAAATATGGCACGCCATGCATTGAATTTTGTCTAACTTATAATTTGGTATTATCACCAGAACAGTAAGAGGTATTCTTTTATAAAACAACATTTTATTGTGATTATATGATTAACTATATAGTTCAGTTAAGAACTCGATATCTCCTGAAAGTCAAATTTTTTCAAAGATTAAGGTACCAAAGTATTCATGTATTAGTGCGATACAAACAAACTTAGACTTAAAAACGCACTCTTCATTACAGAATACTGTACCTGAATTTTCAATTCGCAAAGCAGCGTCCTACCTACTGGCCACAAACATACTTGTCCCAACATCGCAGGTTTACAAACCTTTTGATCAAAGCTCCACATTAGATTTTTGTTCAAAGTTAGAGGTCCGGAACAATTTTCGATAACAAAACGGTATTTCATATACTTAATGATTTATAATAACTTTACATACAGACATCAGTATATAACAATAATAGGAACTTTTTAATGTTCACTGGTCGATTCGACTCTGTCATTGGGCGAGGGGGTAATGGCGAGTTGTGTGAGAAATTTGGTAGTTCTGCAATGTATTTTTGTACTTCAAACCAAGTTAAGCCTTTTTACGTAAACAATATAGATTCATAAGGTGCATTATCGGCTGGGGTTAATTTGCGGTTCGGTCCGCATCCGTACTTTGAGAACCCCTACTCTGTGTTACACGGGAAATTTTCTCCAGTCTCCTGTAGCCAATCACTTCGCTCTGTTGTAGCTACATCTGAAAGGTGTTTCTTTTACAGCAGTGGGGTGAGCGTTAATCATTATTAGATCTTTCTTTGTATTTGAGCTCCCTCTTGGAGTGAACTGTGAGGTCCTTTTATCATATGCGACACTCTTACACCCCTGACTGTCCCACCCAGCATTCCTTAGGTGCTACCGGCTGCATTTCCGCTCACACACCTTGCCGATGCCCTGGTGGAACGCGGCCAAGCGCACCACGGCAGGGACCTTGCTGGGCCGCCCATCGATCTCCAGTACATCTATCTCTGCCTGCAGGGTGAAGATGTTGAAGCCTGAGGCGGAGGAAAGGCGGGCCACGACGAACTCGCCAACGGCCTTGAAGGAGAACGGTGTCCCATCAAAGGTAATGAAGTGAAGACTCCCGTACATCATTCCTGAGTGACATACATGTAGAACAAGGCATTGTGGAAGCTTCAGGTTGGATGGTAACACAGGTAAGTAACTGTCTTTTAAATCAGTCAGTAGTAGTTTCAAATGGTCATACAACAATCAGAAAAATAAGTAATAGGTAATGGGATTTGATATTCAATCATTGAAAGATTGGGGACATCTAATGGGTAATAGAGGTACTGCACTATGACTCATCTGGAAAAGAACCTCTGCATTAAAAGTTCTTGCTCACCAATGCCCTGAGCCACCTTGACTGTGGGATTTAAGTTCTCTGGGCTTGTCCAGCCGTAACCTTGGCAGCGGTCCATTGGGCGCTTCAGCAGGTAGAAATGGCAGAGAGGGGACTGGACACAACACCACTGAAATGGGAGGAGGTCTTTGTCTGTAGAGAGAGAGCGGAATCAGATTTACTCTCAAGCAGTTCACATGTAATGCACCCATGCAGTTGACAGATAAGCTAAATTACTAGTAAACTTTACAGTAAATCAAAGATATAATGTAATTAATGAAATAAAGGGGCTAATGAATGCATCACATTAAATGTCGTATAATATTCAGATGAAATCTTTACCGATGTGGTCTTTCACAGTAGCTGCAGTAAAGTAGCGCTCGCTGTATCCTGCCAGCAGGGGGCCTTGCGGGTCATATACACATATCTTTCCAGAACCGTAGGCATTGGGTAGGATGGACTGGAAGACTTGGCCGTTGACCCCGCCCCATCTAAGGGCCCTCAGCTCTTTCACTCTCTCCCCCTGCTGGGGGGGCAGGGTCATAGGGCCAAAGGCCAGGTCCTCAAGGGCTTGAGTTCGGCTGCAGGGGCAGGGAGGCACACCTACCACCCACGCTGAGGGGTGCGGTTCCTTCATCGCCCACACTTGACACTTCGTTTGTGGCTCCTTGTCAGAGTTCGTCGGCCCACTCAGGTCATACACCCACTGGCCCAAGTGACCTGTGTTTCCCTTCACTTCTTGAGGTCGGTACCTCCCGCCCGGACCAAAGAGGTTATCTGCTGGAAAGGCGAGCTCATTGTAGAAGTTTTTGTTTCCATCGGTGTAACCCATGAGCGCCGTGTGATATAGCCTCTGTCCGGGACCCCAGTTCATCTCATCGAAATGTAGCAGAGCGAATGAGCGCTCCCCATCTGTAGTGAGGACGCACTGGAAGGTGTTGGTCTGTAATTCCACACCAGAAAGGGAGAAGTGGGGAAAGATTCATTGGTGAGTTTTGCACAGTCAAGGTTATCTGTCTCTAATTTTGGTGGACTTGGTTTAGACTAGTGCTCCCAGTCTTTCTCCAAGTCCTTCTGGGACGTCCAGTTAGCTGTTCTTCATTTATATTACAATGTCAAACCAACATATAGGTATATTAGGTTTACTCTTGTGGTTGTATCTTCAAGACATAATATGCCATGCTTTTGAACATCAGATTGCTTGTAAAATATAAATAAATGTCAGACATGGTGTTCTGTCAATGTTCTGTCACAAGTACTGTACCCTGCCGACCTCAGATAGGTTGATCTTCTGGTAGGACACTGGCAGCACATGGTCCCAGGTAATCTTGAGGATCCAGGTCGGGGTGAACACGGGCCCCCCTCTGCGATGCTCAAAAAGGGTCACTTCTTCTGCCGTGCGGTCAAATACGATTTGAGAGTAGATGTCTGAGAGGTTTCGTTGATGGTACTCCTGAGATAGCGTGTGGGGAGATGTAAATGTCAGGCGGCCAGGGTTCATGAAAAAGATGGTAACTAATGAACCAGTATTGACATTTACATAGGTCCTGGACAAAGATAATACACAGGATCATTAAACATACGCAGACTGGGCACAGCTCCCAGTCTCCTGGATGACCACCAACCTGGTAGAAGAGCTTCCCCGCCCCTATGGTGAGGTCTGCATCGTCCCAGAATGCTGCTAGCATAGCCACACTTTCATTGCCACGAAAACCTTTTGGGAAGGCAGTGGGGAACAGGAACTGCTCATTCTCCATGACTGACTGGAACTGGATGAGACCGTTGTCTGAAAACTTTGGGAAAGAGTAGGACATGGTCACTCACATGAGTTTCATGGAGGCCCCCCTATACTAGCCCAACCTGATGATGGCCAGAGGAAGCTTACATAGACTCTGTTGTATGACTTTCCCAGGAAAGGGAATCCCGCAGGGTGCATGATGTAGGGAGAGTTGGTGTCGGGCCCTGTGGCCTTGACTGTGTTGTCCCCCACCTCTTGTCCAAAGGGGGACAGCTTGCTCTCTGCAGGGGGCAGGAGAACACGGTCAATGCTGAATTCAGAGACCTCGTAAAATAAGGGTACAAGGAACACACAGTGGACAGACAGGCAGCCCCTGATGTTGAGATACTGGCCAAAAATAGTGTGACCTTAAAATGTGGTTGTTGTGCGGGGGAATGGTGGCACAGTGGTTAGCACTTTGCCTCACACTTCCGGGACCTGAGTTTGAGTTTCCGCCGCGGCTCCATGTATATGCAGTTTGCATGATCTCCCCTTGTCATTGTGGAGTGTGTCCCCCCGCCCTCAGTCCAAAAATATGCTGAGGCTAACTGCAGTTACCAAATTGCCCATAGGTGTGAATGGTGTGTGAGTGTGCCCTGTAATGGGTTGGTGGCCCATCCTGGGTTGTCCGCTCCATTATGGCCATAGGCTCTGGAGCCCCCCACAAGCTATTACAGAGAATGCATAGGCTGCTGGTTATGTGAAGTATGTCTAAAAGGGGTGATGTGATGCTAATTGAAAAAGGGAGTCATAAAGGGATTCAAGATACTGTAGGTCAGAGGGCTCATTTACATATGATGCTCATTGTGTGAGTAGCCCACCCTTTTGGCAGAGGGTGTTGCTGGGTGGGCAGGTGCAGCTGAAGGATCCTGGTAAGTTTTGGCATGTGGTGTGGGGGGGGCAGGCTGAAGGGGACAGGCACTCATCCCTGTCAACACAGCCTCGTGGTCCACGCCCCTGCTCTTTGATGGGGCTCCAGCCGTTGGGGCAGCGGCAGAGGAATGACCCCACGGTGTTGGAGCAGGTGGCGGCTGAGTGGCAGGTGCCCTGGTCCAGCTGGCACTCATCCAGGTCCACACATAGCGGACCGATGCTCAGGAACCCCGGAGCACACGGACACCAGAATGAGCCTGGTGTGTTGATGCAGCGAGCTGTCCGGTGGCAGGGGGATTGATGAGCGGCACACTCGTCTACGTCCTCACACCATGTGCCATTCAAAGAGTATCCCAAGGGGCAGTGGCATGAGAAAGAGCCTATTGTGTTCTGACAGCTGGCAAGATGGTGGCATGCCCCTTTTCTGGTCGTGCACTCGTCAATGTCAACGCAAGCCCCTGCCTTCTCCTGGTACCCCTCACTGCAAGAGCAGATAAACCCCCCCAGTTTGCTGATACATTCTTGATCAGGGCGGCAGTTGGCGCCAGAGACGCACCAGTCAATGAGGCCGCAGCCGTCCCCCTGTGGCTCGTAACCTGCCACGCAAGAGCACAGGAAGTGCCCGTCCGTGTTCACACACTCCGCATGGGCGGGGCAAAGGTTTTCCTGCTTGGCACACTCATCTATATCGGTGCACTCTGTAGCATTAGACTCAAAGCCCTTGTCACAGGGGCACTCATAGAAGCCGATGGTGTTGAGACAGCTGGAATGGGGGCCGCAGACTGCAGGACTGTCAGCACATTCATCCACATCCTGACAGCCAGTGTTAGCGCTGTGGAAGCCCTCCTCACAAAGACAGAGGAATGATCCGGGGGTGTTGACGCAAGTGCCATTAGTGCATAGCCAGTCTTGCTCTGGGGTGGAGCACTCGTCTATATCCTCACAGAGAGAGCCATTGGAGGAGAATCCCAGGTTACAGGGGCAGAGGTAGCCACCCTCGGTGTTGCGGCACATGGTATTTTCTGGACACGTGAAGCTGTCCAGACACTCATTGATGTCCTTGCAGTCCCAGCCGTTCCCGCTATACCCCTCACGGCAGCTGCAGAGGAAGGATCCGACCACATTCTGGCAGTAAGATGCATTGGGGCATGATGCCAGTCCTCGGGCGCATTCATCCACTTCCTCGCACAGAAAGCCTTTGGCCTCAAACCCTGGGTCACAAGGGCATTGGTAGCTCCCGTCGATGTTGACACAAGTACTGTTGTCGGGACAGGTGAAGTTACCAATCCAGCATTCGTCTATATCCTCACAGTGTGTTCCGTTGTCCAGGTAACCATCCCAGCACTTGCAGTAGAAGGAACCTTCCATGTTAAGGCAGTGGGCAAATTTGGGGCACTGAACCTCCCCTAGTTTGCACTCATCGAGGTCCGAACAGTGTGTTCCATTCCCGGCAAATCCTTCATTGCAACGGCAGTAGTGTGAACCTAGATGGGAGGTACATTGGGCCATGAGGTGACAGACACTCCTGGCGTTTCTGCAGTCCTCCTCACTCACACAGGTGCCCCGCACGTAGGCGAGGCCCAAGCTGCAGATGCATGAGTAGGCCCCAGGTGAATTCTCGCATGTTAGGTTTTGTGCACAGGAGCCGGGCATCAAACACTCATCCACATCCTCGCAGACGACCCCACTGCCCTGGTAGCCGTCAAGACACCGACAGTGATGCGATCCCTGCGTGTTGAGGCACTGCGCGTGTCGGTCGCAGCTGTGGGGAAGAGTGGAATTCTCTGCGCACTCGTCCACATCCTGGCACTCAAAGCCGGAGCCGACGGTGCCTAAAGGGCAGGTGCAGGTGAAGGAGCCGACCAGATTAGAGCAGCTGGCGGCCGGGTGGCATCCTCCATTTTGCGTTTGGCACTCATCAATGTCTACAAGTCATCCAAAATGGGACAGGGTCAGGACAAAGCCTCCTATAAAGAAATCCAACCAGAGACAGAAGCACACACACCGCGGCTTCCCTCGCCGCAAGTTTCTGCTGACGCTGGAACCGAGGGCAGGAGACAGGAAAGGGGTGACTTACCAGAGCAGTTGTAGCCGTCCCCCGTGAAGCCACTGAAGCAGAAGCAGAGGTGGCTGCCCATCGTGTTGATGCACCGGGCGAACTTGCTGCAGGCCTGCTGTTGCGATTCACACTCATCCACATCTGGGCGATGGTGTGACAGAGAGAAGGAGAGACAGACAGAATTGTAGGACCAGTCACGTCACTTTCATAATATTATTAAGGGGGAAAATTACTATTTCACAGGCCATGCAGATTTTTCTGTAAAACTTATACAGGAGTTTATACGTATATATATATATATTCTCTGTACCCTTGAAAAACGTATTAGCTAGAGTTAAAGTCAAGGGGTATAGTTAAGCTTAACAATGAGCACAGAGATGCATAAGAAATGAATCTGAATAATATTCATTTGGATTATTTCAGTGACAGGTGCTGCCTTATATCATGTTAATTCCCAGCATCTCTCTTTTCTCACAAGCCTTTTAATAGTTGAAATCAACAAATATTCATAATGAGTCTATATGACCAGAAACATACCTTTTCAATACCAAATTGAAAAGTTTATTGTAAAATATTTTTGTAATTTTTACAATTTTAATTACAAAATACTTTTTGGCTACATATTTTGAGAGGGCGCCTTATTGTCTTCTTTACAGTAAATATGCATAAAGCAGAATTTAACAGAACTAATGTTATATAATACAAGCTGAAAACAACAATGACACATTACTCATCCCTATGGGGAAATTCTCTTTTCATCTACCCCATCTTCCTCTTCAAAGCCATATTTATATCGATTGATTTGAATAATAATAATAATAATAGTGACAAACAAGAAGGTGAGAACAAGCCTAGCATGGAGCTGCGGCTAATGGCCTCGCCACAGACGTGACTGTCACAGACGTGACTGTTCTGCTGAGGCACCACCCACATCTGAGAGCTGGCATATGCTTCATTATAGAACAGAACATGCGTAAGGTGATGCTTGAGTCCTCCTGAGTATGACCTTACCGACACAGATTTCCCCATCCTGCTCGAACCCGGGTTTGCAGACACAGACATAGGAGCCGGGGATGTTCACACAGTCTGTCCTGTTGTCTGGACAGACATCTCCCTGGCACTCATTGACATCGGTGCAGGCAAGTCCATCCCCTTCGAAACCCACATCGCAGATGCATTGGTACCCGGAGGGTGAGTGGTGGCAAAGGCCGTAGGGTGGACAGGCCGGGATGCAACTGGTACTGGGGAGCAGGCAGGTGTTGTTGTATGCCACCGTGCCATTCAGACAGGAACACACATGAGTGCCAGGCGAGTTGATGCACACGGCTTCGGGAGGGCAGCTGTGGTTGGAGACGGCACACTCGTCAATGTCGAGGCACAAGGAGCCGTCGCCCTTGTAGCCCTGCAGACAGTGGCAGGTGAAGTCCCCAGGAGAGTTGGAGCAGACAGCCCGGGGGTGACAGGTGCCCCCTGTGGCACACTCGTCCACGTCATCGCACTGTGTGCCATTGCCCATGAAACCGCGCTTGCAGGAGCAGGTGAAGGAGCCAGGGGTGTTGAGGCAGGTGGCGTTAGCATGGCACGGCTTGGCGATAATGCACTCGTTGACATCCAAGCAGGGGGCGTTGGTGGTGGAACGGGTGAAGCCCACCTGGCAGGGGCACTGGTAGGACCCCTCGGTGTTGGTGCAGCGCTCGTTGGCCTGGCACGGTGCCTGCAGCTCCTGGCACTCGTCCACATCTTGGCACATGGTCTGATTGACCAGGCGAAACCCCAGAGAGCACAGGCAGGAGAAGGATCCCTTGTTGTTGACACAGGTGCCTTTGTTTCGGCAGCCCCCGTTGTCCACCAGGCATTCATTGATGTCCTCACATGATGCCATGCCGTCACCAGTGTAACCAGCCTGGCAGCTACACCTGTATGAGCCGGGCATATTAGCGCAGAGGGCATTGGAGTGGCACGGCGTGGCCTGCGTGCACTCGTCCACGTCCCTGCAGGAGACACCGTTTCCCTCATAGCCTGGCTGACAGACACAGGAGAAGGACCCAGGGACGTTGGAACAGGTGGCGTAGGGACTGCACCGGCCCAGAGTACACTCATCGAGATCCTGGCACCTGGAGCCATTAAAAATGAAGCCGGAGCCACAGTCACAGTTAAAGGAGCCGCCTGTGTTGACGCAGGTGGCACTGGTGGGGCAGGTGTTGGGCGTAGCGCATTCATTGATGTCGGTACACTGGCGTCCATCCCCCGCAAAGCCAGGGCGACAGGAGCACTCATAGCTGCCCAGCACGTTGATGCAGTTGGCGTTGCGGTCGCAGGAGTTTGATCCCATGCACTCATTTATATCCATGCAGGTCACCCCGTTACCGGCAAAGCCCTGTAGGCAGGAGCAACGGAAAGAGCCCGGCAGATTGACGCAGGAGGAGAACACGCTGCAGATGTTGCTGGAACACTCGTTGATGTCATTGCATGCCTGTCCATTGCTCTGGTAACCTGGGCTGCAGAGGCAGGTGTAAGTCCCTGGTGCGTTCCTGCACCCTCTGTAACCAAAGGAGGGGGAGCAAACTCCGGGGGTCTCTGAGCATTCGTCAATGTCCAGACAGAGGTAGTTACCATTGCCTTTGTAGCCTGTATTGCACGTACACAGGTAAGAGCCGGGATTGTTGGTGCAGGTGGCGTTCCAGTGGCATATTCGTGACTTGACACACTCATCCTCGTCCTGGCACTCGAACCCGTTCCCTCTGAAGCCATCCATGCAGCGGCATGTGCGTCCTCCTGGCGTGTTGCTGCACATGGCGTTGCGGTGGCAGCCTCCGTTGTTGGTCAGGCACTCGTTAACGTCCTCACACTGCATGCCGTTGCCCACATAGCCATCCTGGCATGTGCAGCTGTAGCTGCCCGGCGAGTTGCTGCAGCGTGCCTTCAGGTGGCAGCTGTGCAAGCCGAACGCGCACTCGTCGATGTCCTCACACTGCAGCCCGTTGCCGTAGTAACCCACGTGGCACACGCACCGTAAGTTTCCATCCTGCGTGTTCATGCAGTCGGCAAGGCTGTGGCACTGCATTCCCACTGACAGGCACTTTCTCAGATCCACTGAAGGAAATTCCCAGCAAGATACAGGGAAGGAGAGACAGGGAGAGTAAAAGGAGCATTAAAGGCGTTAAGGAATCATGGGATATTTAAAAATATATTCAAACTGAATTATTGACAAGATATTCAAGTAGAAATTCTCAAGGTATCTGCAAGGAAACTGATACAAACTCAACTCATTGCATTCCCACTACTGGGCTATGAGGCTACCTGAGCTTGTGAGAGTTTTACTTACACAAAATGTTCTGAGGACAGAACAGAAAAATCATTGGTTCAGAGAGATAACTAATCAGACAGTAGAGGAGGTGGGTCCAAACAACTAGAGGAGGCGAGATCACGACAACTGATTGGTTGGTCTGACATCTGACCAAGATCTTATTGGTTATCTCTCTGAACTAATCATTTTTCTCGTTCTACCCTAAGAACATTTTTGTGCTAGTGAAACTCCTATGAGTGCGACCCGAGTCGGTTGATATGGGGGCTCACCTGCGGAGGCGGGTCCAAGTACCATGCACGCATATGCCAGGCACAGTAGGGGAGCGCTGCAGAAGACGGTAGTGTGTTACTACATGGGCAAGTTTAATAAAGAACACACTTCATTCAGGCAGTATGACATTTGATTCTACTTAGCATTGTCATGTTTATTGGGTAAATTGTTATTGTGGTGTTTTCCTGTAATGTGACTATGAACTTTAATTACGTCTGGTGTACATCAGAAGCCCTGTAAGGATCCTTCAAACAAAATAGCATACCGTTAAACGCTCGGTTGTATTTTATGTGTTGGACGGGCGTTATGACCAGAGCTGGGCTATATATAACGTTGTAGTAGCAACTTAGCTAACTAATAAGTTACCATTAGAATTTCGTTAACTTGAATTAACTTGAACACACAAACGGTAGTTTGTGTTCGACCGCTGAAGTGCAGGAATAAGTCGTTGGCAGATGTACTCAAATGACTCACGGGACACTAAGAAATTTTGAACGAGCTGTGTTGGGTAAACCCAGAGACAATAACATATAAAGCTAAAAATAATGTAAGCATTTGCAGTAAATCCAAAAACATCTTGCGTTCATGGCATCTCACACGGTCCTCCACTTTTGTCTTCATTTCTGAGGCGGTACCCCTCCCACAGCAACATGCAAACACTGTCGTTCTACCCTTTCGGCACCAAGTGTAGTGTGAATGTGAGCGATGGCACCAGCACCGGCTCCAGCGAGGGCTTGGTGTGTAAGGGGTATGAGAGTGATCAGAGGAGAGAAATCCACAATCGCCAACTGGGTGTTGGCCAGCGAAGTATTGTCAATGCGGGATATGAATGAAGGCTATCCCGCCTGATATGAACCAACAGAAAGGCTGCTATGGCACAAACAGCAGATGATATTTATTATGGTTGTGGGAGTATTGTGTCAGAACACACGGGGCATGGAGTCCTGCTGCGTATTGGACTTGTTAGTTCAATGCATCCCGCAGATGCTTGACTCGTACCTGGCCGTTTGAATGACGCAGCAAAAAAGGTCATTCATTGGACCAGGCCACCTTCCTTCATTATTCCAAGGTCCAGTTCCGATGCTCGTGTTTCCACTTTCGACGGTGGACAGAGGTCAGCATGGGCACTCTAACTGGCCTGTGACTACATACCGCATGCACAATAGGGCTTGACACACTACGTGCCGTAACACAGTATTCTTGTGATCATCATCAAAATCATCTGCGATTTGTACCATGACAACGCTTTTGTTGGTTTGTTCCAGATGGGATAGCCTTCATTCACATTTTGCATCTACAAGTCTTGGCTACCGTGCACCTAGTCAGTGGTTCAAGGTTTTTCCCTCCTAAGTACTCACCACAGCTGATCGTGAGAACCCCAAGTGCCTTGCCATTTCGGAGATGCTCTGATGCAGCCATCTGGCTGAATATTTTGTTCAAGAGTAATACTCCAGGGCTCTACTGCACATTGTAAGCTTCAATCTTAAAAACATCTAAGCCTGTTTTACTACAAATTTTAATTTTGCTGAAATGACTTTGTGCCCTGAGGACACTGGGTGAGACATCTGATAATCGCAAAGGAATACTTTTCTCTGTAATTAGTAAAGAGATCTACTGGCGTGCATTTTATGTTGATGGTCAGTCATTATCCTCTTAGTCTGGAATTGATATCAGGCTACTAGACTTTTTTGAGGTTGAGAGCCACAGGTGACACGTCTCAATGGAGCTTTGTGGTTTGCTGAACACAGCTATTCAATGCGGGAATCTGAGTTTTTTGTTGCATTTCCTTTGGAGGGTATTGCCGAGTAGAATACAAGAATTACTGTTTTGCCAGAGACGTAAAAATATAATACTGCACGCACAATTATTTCTGCTGTTCTGAATGAAATGAAACATATCAGTGTATCAGAAATACATCAATACATCACTAGTACACAAATTCTGGTTCATGCTTTTATCGTGTCATGCATTGACTATTGTCATTACCGTTTCATTGGCCTTCCTGCTAAATTTTTACAAAAGCTTCAGTTTATTCAGAACTCTGCTGCAAGAGTCCTCACACATAACAAGTGTTCTGCTCACATCACCCCTATTCTCTCACGGTCATACTGGTTACCAGTTCTGTCCCATATCAAATTCAGTATCCTAGTAGTCACCTTCAAAACATTACTTGGCCATGCACCCCCTTACTACCCCCCCCTCGCACTCTTTGGTCATCTAGCTGTAATCTGCTCCTTGTCCCTCGCGCCAAATTTCTCACTATGGGTAGCAGATCATTCAGTACCGTCGCCTCCAAACTTCAGAATTCTCTTTCTCAGTCTCTCCTTGACTGTTTCTCATTGTCCACTTTCAAATCCAGGAAAGACTTTCCTGTTTAATGTAGATTTCTCTTCATGTACTGCTTACATGATTTTTTTTCATACCTGCTCCTTATAAAGTGACCTTTGGTTTGTGAAAGGCAGTGTATAAATGTAACTTACTATTATAATTATTATTATTAATCTAAACATGAGAAACGAGGGACGAGTGAATAATTATGGTCACTAGTTTCCACTCAAGTTGGTTTCCTTGGAATAATCCAGTGTCAGTCTCCATGGAATAATCCAGTGTCAGTTTCCTTGGAATAATCCAGTGTCAGTTTCCTTGGAATAATCCAGTGTCAGTTTCCTTGGAATAATCCTATATAACTATTGGAACATCTTTGATGCCTACAGTACCACTCATAATGTAATATGAAGTTTTGGTCACTTTGTTGGTTGAAATGGGCTTCTTGTCTTTGTTTATGAATGTCTTTCTACTGCGGCTGCATGGGTGTGGACGACAGTGTCCTTGCTATTATGGATAAATTTCAAGAAGCCAAAGGGAACAAGACATCTTGTTTTTTTCACACTTGGAACGAAATGGAGCCAAGGTGGGGGTAAATCGATGGATGCCAAAGAGAGTACACTGAAGCTGAAACGAATTCCAGATCACCGGTTGTGTTACATTTTGAATATTACCCTACCCTTCAGGCTGGGTTACTCTATTGTCCTGCTGTGTTACAACGTCCATGGTGTCAGGTGAAGGAAGACAGTTATGAGAAATACTGCCCAGGGTCAAAAGCCGCAAGGCCAGTATCTGCTGTGCCGTGGGGATCTCAGAACTCTCTGCATTCAGGCATTTTTATGCTGGAGGGAGTCTTTCTGCAGGAACACTTACCTGGAAAGTGCAATAAGCTCCCGAGAATGAAAGAAGTGGGATTTTATTTTGGAAAATTCCACCTTTTAGTTAGTAGTTGTGACCCTAAAGAGGCTAAAATATAATTAATTATATTTCAGAAGTTGCTCTTTGAAGAAAGTTTCACTGTACTGAAACACCTGTCAGCCAGGCTCTGGGATTCCATGGAAGGACTCAGGTTTACCAAGGCAAAAAATTGCCCCATAAAGTATGTGCCAAAACTGCTGTATTAAAAAGAACGGTAGAGTATAACAGACGTACAAACAGAAAGCCAAGTGCAAAGAGTACGAGAAATTTCTTACGGCACTGGTGATCGCGTGACATATCAGTGAAACATAATACAATCAAACACTTAATGAAGAAAAAAATAGAATGTAACTGAAACAGAGGTATTAAAATAGAAATGATATGTGCAAATAAATAAACATACTGGAAAAAATAAATAAAGTGAGACAAGTGTATAATGCAAACGGCTTGAGGTATGCACAAACAAACATAAGGAAACGTTAAGAGTATGACTACTCACACAGTGTGCATATAAAGTGGCTCGAGAAAAATAACTAGATAAATAGTCTAATTTGGGCTTTATGTTGTCAAAATTTCTAAATATTTCTTTCAAATCCTAAATCCAAAAAACCATATCAAAAAACTTTCGTTCATACACTTCCTGAAATATCCTGCATTTTTCATTGTATATGTGATCATAAAGGATATTATTAAAATAATAATTACATATGACAAGAATTACCGAATCAGGAATGAGGAGAGATTGCCTGCATATTGCTAAATTAATCAAATCATCAACTACATGAAACCACCAAAAATGAGTTTGAGAGAAGAAAGAACAGTCCAGGGAGGAGAAGTTGACCACGAACAGGAGGCTGTACTGAGGATTTAAGGAAAGCTGTTTCTGCTTACCGCATGGCTTTTAGTCTCTGTGACTTGAGTTCATTAAGTACAAGGTATTTTGCGTTTCTGATGTCTTGTTTTTGCTTCCCGCTGCCCTGAAATGACCAGCTTGTGGTTGTAGAGGCTGCATCTGCCTGAGCTGGATCGTGCATATCAGCCTTAACTCCACAGCGGATCGAACACAATGGCCCATTCTAGAACCTTCTGATACTGTACACCTCACAAAATGGGAACACCCTTGTCTTTTTGTGTTGGACGTCACACTGAGTAAATGAACTATACCCTCAGGATTTAGTCTGTCTTTTCACGAAGAAATAGCCGCATACAGGACAGCCATCAGGGATGTGTTCAGATCAAATCACACCCTGAGCCTATCATCAAAACAGTGATCTGTTTATAGTTTAACAGAAATTGGTTTTCAAGTCCGAGTCTCACACTCTGCCCTACAGACTGGTTTGTGGCTCTTTGTAAACCCATACTTAGCGCAAACCACACTGTTGTGTTGTATAGTAAAAAGTACATCAACCATCTCCTCACTTCAGATTCAGGTAACTGCTATGAATGTGTCGCAGAATATCCTATATTCTCAGAAAAATGGTTGGTTGTGCTGGCCCCCCTTGAAAAAATATGCAGACCCGGGGGTTGTCCGTAAATTGTTGCAAAATTTGCATGATCAAAAGGGGCACAAATTTGTCAGTCAGAAGGGGGGGGGGGGTCCCCTCTGTAAATTTTGCTGTAGGCCCCCTGCCGCTTCTGATCTCATTGATTGTCTTTGAATCTCTACGCTGGACCAGAAGCTGCAGTCAGGACAGAATATGGAGAAAATGAGTGGCTCCAGATTGGTAAGGAGTTTGACAAGAATTCATACTGTCTCCATGGCGGCCTAGCATATAATAAGAGAAAATAGAGTAAGAAGACAACTGCGGATTAAACATTGTTGATGTTTCTTCCTCCAACCTGCCAGGTCCCGCAGACGAGCAGAGCTTAATGACCCCTCCCCAAATGGAAAGGGCTCGCTCACCCTCGCACTCAATGCCAGGTATTGTTGATCTGAGTCTTTCTACTCGCACCTTACTGCCCTTCCTTCTCATCTCCAGTCCTGCTTGCAACAATCATAAACAACAAAGAATATGGCAGTCATAGTCAGGTTTGTGTAAGAACAAATTTTCAAATTCTTTGGAATATGGTATTTATTTGATCTCTTTCTGGATGTGAGAACTGGACAATGACGCAGGTAGACAGGAAGAGTATCATTACCTTTGAAATATTATGTTCTGTAAGGAAAACAAGTGGATTCTTGTTCAAATCAAGCCTGAACTTGAAAAAGAGATGATTAGAATGAAGCTGTCTTATTTTGGGCTCGTTATGAGTAGACCCAGTGCAGTGACACTTGGAAAAATCGAAGATAAAAGAGGAAGACGAAAAGCAAGATGGTGAATGGAGTTAATCATCCAAGCAAACATGCTTTAAGAAGCCTGAACACCCAGACAGAAGTTCAGAGAGAAATAATGTTCCCAAATCCTCTGGTGCATATTGTGGTATAGTATGGATGTTTTTCGTTTCTGCTGTCTTTGTACAAATTGGTACCGTGGGGCTTAGTAACAGTTTTACTTTATCCTCCTGAGACCCCACGTCCTCATATAAGGGCATCATTTTTAGTTTAAAACTATTCATTGTTCAAAAAAATAAGGTTTGGTTTTTATGATTATGAGGTCCTACTAATCCCAAATAGCTAAAGGAAATAAAACATGCACACTAAACAAAAGCCCTGGACTCAGGAGGTAATCTGCCATATCTTGGCAAACTGTTTATTCTTGTGCTGTTAGCCCTTAGCCATGTTTCTGTCACACCCTCTGCTGTACAACGTGTAATGCAGCAGTTCCATGCCCTGCCAGATGGTGGGGATGTCGAACCAACCAAGTTTCATGCCGCACGCCAAATAGCACAGATTAACAGATTAACATGTGGTCTGGTTAAAACGTCACAGTTAGCGCTCACAAGATTTTATGAACTGATGAACATCATGACTGCAGCTTTATTTTACCATAAAGAACAACTGTAGAATCATTAAACAAATAAGTATGTTTACTCATATCTGAATATCAGGTCCCGTCAACTGTTTCAGGAAACTATTGATATTTGCTTGCTTTATGTGGTATGTTTTTTTTTATAGTTATATTCACATATTTTGGAAAAGTAAGACACGCGATACATCTTCAGATGTAGATGCGCGTTGAAAGTGAAAAGTAGCGTGCCTGAAGTTTACTATAGCGCAACTCAGCGCAACTCGCCGCAACACGCCCTGGCTTCTGAGTAATTATGCACAGAGAGCCTCTACGTATGCGAGCAGGAAACATCGTTAATATTCTGGGTGTAGCTTGGCTTTCTCGGGAAATGTGTATCTCAGAAACAAGCACTTCACCCTTGTACCGTCAATGCTAACCATGATACAAAAACGTAAGATCTCTGTTAGAAACGGTTTGGGTTTAGATGACAAAGATACCGCTGCTCCAAAAAACCTTAGTGATAATATAGCAAAAGAGCAGCACAGTGTAGTGAGAGCATTAGGTTATTGTTATTCAGTTATTAGCTTACTCTGCCCTGTTTATTGTGCTGCTAACACTGTTACCAAATATGTAGGGACTGAATAGTCACCTCTTCGTTGTAATACTTCAGTACGACTTCATATTTGCAAGTTTAAGTAAACGCCTGTATAAACACTTATTTACAATGCTACGCAGACCAGGGTGAAATATTTTAAAGAAATAAAAGGTTAAAAAAAAAGTTTCTGAAATGTCATGGGGTGTTCCAGATGAACATGTAGAGCTACTGAAATGAGAATACCGCTCTCATTCTAAAAAAAAACACTAATTGTTGTAAAACTGCAAGAAAACGAGCGTGTTAACTGTTACTCTTCAGAACAGTCTGCTGCCCCAACTTGTTCGTCGGAATTGTTGTCACATTCCAACCACCCCCCCCCCCGAAACTATGCAGCAAAAATGACTGGACCAGGAAGTCATAAGCACTGCTTAGTGTGGTCCTCGGGTGGGCATAGACGCACATAAAAAAGAAATAACAATATAAAAATAATAATCATAACAATAATAATAACAATACTTGTTGTTGTTATTATTATTATAAATGATAAATAATACTTTTTGTTGTGTAGTACACTGTGGTGGGTTTCAGCAGAATTGATACTAGATCTCAACCTTCCAGTAAATGAATAATTATCTTCTGGGTCCACCTGAGGAACCCTGAAGAGATGGAACCCAGCTTGGCGATGACTCTCCTTCTGGTCCCTCATCTGGTTTCAGGTTTCACTACTGCATATGTTGGGTGTGTTTTCTTCTGCATTGTCACCTTTTAATGAGCACTTTCATGAATAGCTTCAAGTAGTCATACATCTTTATTTGTAATATAGATCATCAGCTTAGAATGTTTGTATCGTTCATTACCTTCAGTATGACCACATGGCGAGAGTTTGATATTGGAGGGACACAATTACTGAAATGCAAAGATCAAATTTTTTGGAGGTGAGGGAGTAGACGAATGAAATCCATGTAAAAATTAGGGGGTACACATCCCCCTGTTTCCCCTGCTTCCGGGTATCTATAAAGTTAGTTTTCATTGCACAATAAACCAAAGGAATGATTAACAGAACTATTAATAATTCAGTCTCATTTTATATAGGTAAATCTTATACACTCAGAAAAAAAGGTAAAAATCTGTACTGCTTGTCACTGGGGCTGTACCCTTGTAATTATACCTTTTAACATACAGAAATGCACTCTGAGGAACATCTCAAAGGTACAAACAGCATTAATGTACCATCAATGGTATAGAAATGTTTCTCAGAGTACATTATTTTACCTTAATAGGTACAATTACCTGCAGCTAAGGATACAATTGGCTGACCCAGTGACAAGCATCGATAGACGTTTTTCCCCCTTTTTTCGGAGTGTAGTTGACATAGGTGGCCACCTAGGGCACCAACTTCTGAGGAGGTGCCGACTTGCCAGCCAATTTCACTTTGCCTCAGACGAGGGGGGGGGGGATACTGGCAGTGATGTTCACCAAGGGTGCCACGTGGACTACAGGCCTGTATCGACACCTCTCACAATTTCCAAAGGACTGAATAACAAGAGGATTACTGGCAGCTGTTTTATCCCCATTTAAAGCACTGCTTATTTCCATCCATCTCCCTAACCTGAATACGCTCACATGGAATGTGCACCCTCATGCATCACACTCGAGTCAATTCACACACCCCAATCAGCTTAGCCGAATGTCTACTGATGTCTGAATGTCTAAATGGGCACAAGGGCTCTCCTGTAATAATCAATCAAATGGTCGTACGTGAACAATACATATATAACAAACACACATCTTATGTAGGAACCCCATAAAATACAAAACTATTAAAGTTCACTGAATATTTCAAGAAAAGCTGAAGGTAACTAAACGGCTTAGAACAGCCCCACCCTCGTGTCGACTCTTACGACAACCAGAGGGTAGATCAGTAAGATTCAGGAGATGTTTAAGATCAAGTTTACAAAGACCGTCGTACTATCATTCAACTTTGCACTGGTTTTGCATGCTATCAAATAAACACTCATTTGATTTTGTGCGGCATGAGATTTTTTAAAAATGTATTTTTAAAAAGCATCACGCTTAGTGACTGATAGTTGCTTTCCCCCTCACTGACTAACTTAGAGTTTCTCCCAAACCGGTTTGGCGAGAAAACCGCGCCTGTGAGAAGAAAAACGAAGCCTGTTCGTGGGCGCCGTCCAAACGACTTCGGAGGCTTGTGCTGAACGATCGCAAAGCCTGTCTCGGAATAACGACCTATTCCTATTTTTCCGCTTTCAATCATGAGGGCTCTGATTTTGCTGCTCGTGGCTTCAGCAGTGGGAGCATCAGCTGACTGTAAGATCATTTACTTATTTATGTATGACTGCATTTTTTTCATCTGATCTTGTTTATGCGCCTGTAAACATTATTTTAGTTGTAGTGTGCTTGGGTGTTCAAAGGAGTGCATAACTGTTCAAAGAAGGAGTGCTCATATAATTTCACTTTTAATTGTTTTTTTCAGTGTAAACATGCATCCATCTGTTTAGCAATTTAATTTGAATTGAACAAAAATAACCCTACTTATTGTTGTTGTTATTGTTTTACAATAAAAGGCTCATGCAAGTACTTGAAGTGGGCTAAATGTGAGACGCAGGGGCAGACTTGCAATTGTACCGTCGCAGTTGTGAATAACACGGCGCATCCCATAGATTGCAGTACACGTAAGTTAGCCTGAGATATCCGTCTGGGCCCTTTGCCAAAGTGCGCTAGAGCACAATAAACGCACTGTTATTGCAGTGTGAGTCTGCTAAATTGCTTTATCGTGATAATGTTAAAGAAAATGTACTCTGTCCATGGACATGGAAAAGGGGTAATGCATCTTAAAAAAATCTTTGTAACGCTGATGGGGGGAAAAGGGCAATGTTAACTGAGGGGTTATTGGAAGAAGCATGGATTGTTGACTTAAAAAAATGAATCTGATCTTGGTGGTTGCTGGCCGTATGGGTAGTATTTGTATATGTCACTGATCCGCTGTTCGATTTGTCAGTGATTTCCAAGTGCCAAGCGATGAAGGCAGAGATGTTCCTGCTCACGCGTGCGGCAGTGAGGTCTCTAGGGAAACCCACTGAGCATGCCCTGACAGACGAGGACGGGATCTACGATCCCGTATGCGAGCGCAACGGAAACTTTAATCCCAAACAGTGCAACAATACTAACCAGTGCTGGTGTGTGAACAGCGCCGGTGTCCGTCGCTCAGACATGGGCGATCTCCAGCTCAAATGTGATGCGGTGGAGACCTAGTAAGTAAACATTCCTTACATAGGCTACTGTACATACCTGCTCGAAACCAGCATTGCCGTAACACTAAATATCAATTGCTGCTTTCGCAACCAGTAACCATAACAATATATTTAGGCTTATGTGACAAGGATTATTTGTATCAGACCTGGACAGTTAATTTCTATGGAGGACCAAATGACAGCAGAGACCATTTTTAAATGATTATTCTTGTGTCTCATTAAAGCTACAGTTGAAAGCCTGAGATTTTTTTTCTTGGCCATTCTTTTAAAATGACCCACATCCTGGTTGTGTAGCCCAGTAGAGATAACTCTGCTACCTGGATGTGGCCTTTTGCTCTGGCCTGACCTATATTTTAATAACCCATATTCCCTGTCACCTCTTCTTTTTTTCCAGCTGGATACGCATTGACCTCTATCACAGAACAATGAAAACTGCCCTCAATGTCACCAACATTAGAACGTTCGTAAACAAAATAAATCTGAATACTATCTTTCATTCAGTCAAATAGTTCATTCTGTAATGCATATATATTTGGTCAAACATCGAGGTGAACCATCTGCTAATGTCAATCATATACAATGGCATTATTCTAATAAAGATTAATGCTTTTGCAATGTAATTCACATAGAATGGGTATAGTGGGAAGATTGAACATTTCCAGTTATTCAGTGGGTCTGCTTTGGATTGCTGGTGCTGTTTATTCTATGAAACCTGTATTTGTTTTCTGCAGTGCAATTGAAACTCTCCTGCAACAGTACAAGCTGAACACATCCCTAATAGAAAAAGTTGATGTGAGTATTTCTAGTATGTCTCATGGTGTACTCATATGGATTGTAGTTTGTAACAGGCAAGGCAGAATGTAGCATTTCACATGTGTGGTTTAAAATGCTGTTGAACATTTATGGTTACATGTGACTTGGATTGATCTTGCAGTATAACAAGGATAGAAGTCTGATTGTTGTGGACATCAAGAAACCGATGGGTGATAGGACGGTGGACCTCTCCCGCATGGCACACTATTTGGAAAAAGATGTAAGGACTGCTTTTGAGGGTCAGATACTGCATTGAACACGTGGTAGCGTGGACGGTGTTCTTAGGTTTGGTGTCTTCCTGTTCGCAGGTCAAGAATTTGACTTTACTTACGAATCCCAACCCGCCGGTCACAGTTGGTGGGCAGCCAATGAGCTTTGAGAGGGCCACCGTCTATTATGTTGACGAGAAGCCCCCCACCTTCAGCATGAAGAAACTTACTGGGGGTGTGATTGCTGTCATCGTTGTGGTGGCTCTGGCAATTATTATCGGTCTGCTGGTCCTGGTCAGTACTCCGAAATTCATATTTGTGTTTGTTCTCTCACCTTATCTTCACTTGAAGCTTCAAAAGGTCTTTTGTAGCATAATGCCATTTCATCTGCTATTATAGCAGAATTCAGCAATCATTTGGTCTTGCCATTATGAGGCATCATGAAAATGAACACGCCCTGGCTGTGTATGTAATTGTTTGGAGGAGGAAACATCAATGGTTTTTTAATGGGCTTCGTTTACTCGTCCACAATGGCACACAAAATTGTGGTGGAATGCAAAACTGATAGAACATGTTTGGACTAATAATGGCAGGAAATCTAACAAGGTTCTTTCTCTCTGCCCCCTTCTGCTGTCACCGCTCCGCAGTTCCTGATCAGGAAGAGAGAATCCAAGATGGCTCAGGTAGGCATGCGGCCAGCGAAAGGAGAATGCGAGTGTAAGAACAGAAAAGGGGCAAGTGGAGTGCCGTAATTTCGTTCTTGGATGGGAGCCACACATTAAGCCAAATTAAGCTTCCCGTCAGTGATAGTCTTATGTCTTGTTATGGTGACCAGCACTCCCAGTGTCCGTTCAGAAGCCAAGTACCGCGTACACCAGCATTTATACTCTTGGTCAGTAGTAGGCTAGTTGTATTTAGATGTATTTTTTGGAGGGTTTTGTAGGGTTGTGAGCTTTGAAAAGTAATCTTATGATACGTGGTTTTTGGTTTCTTACAGGTTCACTAGCTGCCTTCATCGAAGAAAAGAAATATTAAGCAAAGTGTGCCATCTTTGGAATAATAAAAAGATATGCTTTTGTTTCAGTTTATAAATGTGGTATGCATATGTTTGACGTTTATGTACAGTTCCATGTGGAAATGTTATTGTAATAACCTGAGTATTTCTGTTTGAATCAGCCCACCCTTTTACCATTTTTATACTGTAAGCATTAATGTTCTTAATGTCATACACTATATATATGCTTTAATGTCAATCACAATCAAAATGCTCTTAATCTCTTACGTTGTACAGTTTTGGGTGAAATGTGTCTGCATTTCAATTGAACTGTTATTAATAAACCCATATTTTTTTTTCTAATTCACTTTAGCGGTATAATTTTTTATAATGGTCTGATTCTTGGAATAACTTGAGCTTGGCATCATGGGTGTACAGTGTACATCGGGCCTTGGTGTCTAATGGTGTCTTTGGTAAATGTACTCTGCTTCTGTACCAGTGTATTGTAGAGCTGCCTTACTTTTGGGGGAAATGCGCTGTATTTCTCAATGCGTTTAGTGTCATATATACTGCATTAGATGATAATATTTTGTGTAATAGTGTTAAGTTGCCATAAGCTGTTTTGTCAAGAAGGCTGATTCAGTGGAAAAAAATAGTATGGAAAAAAGGGAGGAATTTGAATAGAGGACCAAATGAAAATTTGTTTATCAACATAAAGCATTTCCACATTCAGCAGCCACTGATGAACCATGCTGACCAGAGGATCCCTGGTTTGTGACCAATATGAGATTATTTAAAAATCAACTGGACTCCTAAATGTACTCAGTAGATCATTTGTCTTGGCAGATATAGTTGCCTTACACAATCTGCAAAGCCTTTAAAAAAAAAAAATAGGTGTTGAGCCATTACCTGGAGCAACTAGCATTTTCAATGGCGCAACACCTGCATAGTACCGTTTACACCTAGAGCAATTCCCTCTGCCACCACCTCTGAGCCTTGTATCTTTTGAGAAGCATTATGGGATGTAGCAGTTCAGTAGCGCAAAAGTAGGCAATAGGTGGCATCTAAGAAATCAACATTACGTAGGTAAAGGATTATTGAAATGAGACAAGTTAATGTCATTAACCCAGGTCTGATAGCAAAAACTAGCATTACGATCTAATCGCAACGTTAAGTTGCGAAGCTCAGGGGACATTATGTACGTTAGTTATTTTTCATCTCTTGTCACTTGCCCTCCTTTTGAAAAAGCATAGCTATGTTTGTAGGAATCATCTTTGCGTTTTACATACGACTGAGGTGATTCAGGAGACTGGAGAAGCATTGTTATGGTTCTGTGCAAAATTTTGTAGTGTTTTGTTTTGGTATTTGGTTATACCTACCTGTCAAAGTGAGGTATTTAACTACACCTAGTGTTTAAAATGCAAAAATATGCATTCCTCTTCAGTTATGCAGAACTTTGTATAGAGTAATGGTGATTGTACTTCGGGAGAGCCTGAAAGTCTGCATAGTCCGTCAGCCAACTGGGGTGACAACATAATGTTAATGCAAGTTGGAGGAAAGTTTAATGCTTAAAAATGAAAGATGTCTATAACATTTTGTTATGGGAAATGTTAATCTCTTGTTTTTTGTTACCCTCTGTTGATTTGAGAGTACAACACCAAATGAGCACAAGTTCCATGACTGCTACACCACCAGCTGTTAATCTCTCTATTGTATAACCACATAAATGTTATATATATATATATATATATATATATATATATATATATATATATATATATATATATATATATATGTTCATAATGCTCCACTTTGGTGAATTGTGGAAAACAAGTTTTGCTCCAGTTGCTGCTGGAAATATTTCATGAGTTGTTCTGCCCCACTCTGTAATGTGTGTGTGTAGTTTTTTTAAATTAGCAGTACTAATCACTAGTATCCTGCTTCTAGATTCAACCGTAAACTTAAACTGGAATAGCTTTACCTGGATTATTGTTTTTAAAATATTTTATTTCTAAAAATTCATTTTAATATCAGCGAATTACCTTTTAGTGAATTCTTGTTCTATGTTATATAAATGTCACTAAGCCTTGGTGTTTTTAGCCTGAATGTTATGTGTGAAACATGCTTGGTATCAGTATGTACCATGGTCTTGCTTTGTAATAAAGACTTGTTATGGAAATTTGGAGGTACGAATGAACAGACGAGTTCAATGCTTTAGCTCGGCTTCATTTATTGAGATATCTTTCTGTGCGAGCTCGGGGAGACACCTCACAGACAGTTCTGAGAAGTTCTCCAAATAGCAGACGCAGCTGCTTTCATTTTATACTGATACACACACAACCTTTCTCAGTAATCACAACCGGAAAATCCACTTCTGCTTTTAGCAGTCTACGCTCAGGACAAGTTTTTCGTCTAGCACAAGCATCTTACAGTATATTTGCAATATGTGGAATAAAATTTGTCTCTCATCTAGCTTAACCTGGGTAAGGTCTAAAACCCCTTCTCCAGTCTCTTGCATCCATTTCTGCAAGCATAGCAACCTTATTTTGCAGCCTATAACTTCTTTAGCAACCATCAGACAGCATGTTTGGTGGTCATTTCCCACTACAGACTCTATTACAGTATTCCAAGTTTCATTTCTCTCTATATGGCACCATTTGGGAATTTAGGTCTGGAATGTTCTGGTGTATTCCTGGAAGCGGTGTGACTCATTTTTATTCAACCAACCTGTGGTGACTTGTCTCTGCTGCTTGTTGATTTAGTTTTCCACAGGAAGTGTTCATATAGTAAAAATCCCAGGGACTTATTCTTCGTAAAGCCAAGACTCCCAGAACAATTATTGTAAGTCTTATAAGTTGCCTAAAACAATTACTTTAATCCCCAATTTTCAGTGTGCTTTCTAAACTGCACCGCAGTGACCTGATACTTCTTGAATAATTTTGAAGCTTATTTGATGTCTAAAAAGTTGTATTCCACTCAACACAAGTTGGAATTAATGTTTTATTTGGGCATAAAAGTCTACGAACAGGAGCAGAACCAGTTTTGACAGGTTGTTATTAAGTATTTGTACAGTGTCCAAAGGCCATCCAGCTTTGCATGGCACCCAACTGGGCTCATAGCCATACTGTCTATCTGAGCTACTATAGATTCGGTTTAGAATAATCTAAATATCTTCAGTTTTTACAAAAGGAACAAATCATTATGGTTAGTTTCTTGTCGAAACTTGTTGCTCTCCCTGAGCCCATGTAGAGCAAGTATAGAATACATGTGTTTGGTAGGAAACGGTAATTAGCTAAAGGTTGTCATCATCATGGATACCTGAAGAAAATTACTATCTCTGCTGTGATCTTGAATTATGTCACAACACTGCGGAAAAAGGAGAAACTGTAAAAATGGCGTGGAGCACAGTGAATGCTGAGAAGCGTGCTGGTGCTGCGGAGCACTGCAGGGCATTCCAGATGAAACACACTGTACAGTTTTCATGATGACACAGCTGATCATTTTCATTTCAATTTAGATTGCATACTGGATTAATGGATGGTTAGATGAAACTACACTAATCCAAAGTGAATGGTGACTCATCACATGAACTCAGGAACCAAGACAAAAGTCCCTTTTTACATACATAAAAACCCAGAGGTTAATGCCAAATGGTAACCCAGAGGCCAAATCAATAGTTGTATGAAACAGTTGTCAATTGCTATGTCACCAGGTACTTGTATTGTTTACCATTTGCAGAGATGAACAGAACATTTTTTTTAGGTACCCAGGCTAGTGATAAATTCGAGCAATAAATGGTGATTACATTGATGATGTATAAACAGTCATTTATTGTTTATATACTTCAAAATTCTTGGCCGCTTAGATTTCCATTATGTGTAGTAGAGCACAAGCACAGACTGATCTCTGAGTAAAACTAAATAACTGAGTCATCCGTGCGTCACGTGGGTCACACGCAGTTATGTGGCTAATGCCACAACTTGCCCAAACCCCAAGAGAGAAGACAAACGCTAGTATATAAGGACACAGTTTAGAAAACAGCAACACCATATTTGGAGTCAATTTCAAACCAAACTAACTAGCGTATTTTAGCCAACTAGTGTAGATGTAACATGTATTGTAGTACGAGTATTCTTGACGATGTCTGCCTTCAACATCATATGAATACTGTAACTCAGAGTAGAGAAAAGCCAATTCACTTGTACTAAGAGCTTGTACCAAAGTTTTTTGTTTGTTTGTTGCAAAATTCCATTTGAAATAGCAAAACACTCCCATCAAGTGATTAGAAGTGGTACTGCACACAGGTTCGGTTTTGGGGGTGGGTTAATGGATTAGCATGGTAAAATCCTTAACGAATATCAATTCTCTATTAACACGTATTACCATGTTATATGATTAACCTCATAAATCTATTGCATTATTCATGTTTGTTCAAAAGAATCATTTAAAAAGTTCGACCTTTGCTGATGCGAATGAAAAGTTGAAATATCCAAAGTGAGCATATATTTGAATAAAAGCAGAAATGTAACTTTGGACTTGCCTGCTTTTTCTCTTGATCCTGTATAGTCTGGTAGAGTGTGATATTAGCTTCAGCTAATCGAGACAGCAATGAAATCTGATAACACCTTCCTTCTAACGCTTTTAAAACTGTCAATGGGATGTTTAATTTCCCCTTTTCCTCTTTTTTGTTCTAAGATCTAATTTCAATGGAACAAATTAACGTACAACGTCATCACCATCAGTGACTGTATCTAAATCCAGTAGACAACTCTGCTAATATCTTCTATATGGAGAAATACTTAGGGGAGTTACTGGAGCTGCACTTTGTTCCCAAACATGCAGATTTCAGAATTACTTTAAAATGGTCATGATGCTTATACATTATCAAGGTCTCATTAACATGTCAAAGGCCCCCCTGCTATCTTCTACAATGGTGTGTGTGAGTGTGTTTATTAACCAGACCCCTTTTTATCAGAGGCCCCTGGGCTTCAGCCCGGGTAACCCTGTGCATTAAAGCACCCCTGTATATTATGCTTATAAAAATGTAGAGGAGGAAAACGGAGAAAGGGAAGAAAGAAGAAAGTAGGGTGGTGGAGAAGGAGGGTGACTGAAAAAGGGGTGGAGGGGGAATGGAGAAATTTAAGAAAACGACAAGGTCATCATGGGCAGTAGCACCAAACAAAAACAAGAGACCAGAAATATTCCGCCTATTATGTCTTACTCACCGTGTTCTCATGAAAAAACACTAGTCTCAATCCCTCAATCTCATAATCTTTGTGTGTGTGTAAACTCTGTAAATAAACATTGAAGAAATGCCAAGATGGCAGATCATAATGAGTCATCCAACAAACCCCGACACGCACACACGCACATACACACACACACGCGTGCGTAAAACCATAGCTGTTCCATCTGATACCTTTGTGTACCAAATCAGGAGTTAAAAAATCATACCAAAGTGTGTGTCTGTGTTCCTTAAACTCCTTTTTCCCTGTATATTTGTTTCTAAAGCCAATGGGCAGGTGCTACTTTGAGAATCCAGCCTTTTTGCTCTGTGGGCCAATTGACACGGTTAAAACAAGACTCACCAGACATTTGACAATCTGCTACGGCTTAGTTAAAATGGCCTGTGAGCAAGCTGGTGAATGACAGCATTCTAGGAGCAATGGTATTGTGCCAATCAGTTCAGGTAGACATGTGCCTACCCAATATTTTGTAAAAATGTAATGTATAAGGTAATGATTCAGTCAGCCAATAATGTGCCTACAAAAAACTTGAGGTCAGGGTAATTTGGCCAATGAGTGAGCTTCCTCCGGCATATCGCATCTCTTAATCCCCTTCCCTCCCCTATCCCTCATCATTCTCATCTTCTACCATTAACTTTACATGTCATCAACGAATCGTCACGTTGTGACATTCACACCCAGGGCCACCAACTGTCACGCGTCTGGCTCTCACTCTGCCACACTGTCATGCTCACCAAGAAATCTTACAGCAAATCTACAGTATATTATTCCATTATAAACCTAAAGTTAACTACATAAAAAGCGTTGGGGTTGTTTGCAAATGCTACAGACCATTTACGAGGTATTAAAACTGTTTCATTCATGTAAATGAGTGTGCAGACTTTTCTCAAACTGAAAATCTCATGCCAGCCAGCTGATCGAAGCTGGAGACCCCACACATCTCAGCAGCAGAAAATCTGGTTAGCTGGACATGTTTCAATGTATAATAGTTGCACAAAGTTTCAAGAACATTGATATCTGCGCCCGTGTATCTTTTACGTCTTGTGTGAGGCTTTCAAATGGTGCCTACTGGCAGAATTGGTTTGCACAATGCCCCTTGTGTGGAGAACTGAGTCAGCATTACAACGACCAGCCCTCCCTTTTGCTTCACTTCCAGGCCTTAATGTTATGATTTAAACAACAAACAGACACACCTGTGGTTTCTACTGCTGCTTGTGGAGTTAGCTGAAAAACAGGCTGGTGGAAAGGCGACAGAGCAGAATCTTGAGGTAATAATGCTAATGCTGAACCCCAGCCTTGGGCCCTCTGCTACCTGGGAAGGGCACCAGCGTCCCCTGTGGCCCTGACTGGGATGTTTGTTCCTGACATGGACGGATAGATGTTAATACTGCAGTAATATAATCCACAGCCACACTGGTGGTGGCTCAGTTAGAATCGCCTCGTGTTGCGGGGAGGTTTCGTGTCAACAGTGAGTGCCAGTGTCTGAACTAACAAAAATACAGCTCAGGCAGGAAACTCAAAGAAAACAGATACTTCTGTGCATTTAAAGCTTTATTATGCACATGCTCTGTGTGTAGCTACACCCGGTGGGAGTTGGCTGTCCGTAGATGTGTCATCGGTGCTTTTGCCATCGCCGTCGCAGTCATCTGGCTCGGCTACTTAAAATGTTTCATCAAATCTCTCTGCTCTCCCTCAGGTTACTGCCACGTGGGAACAAACCTGGAATCTCGTCATGCTCAGGCAGAGTGGTTTTCATTTCCCCTTCAGACATGTCCCCCGAATAGTCACAGAGAAGTCCTACTTCAGACAATTGAATCACCTTGGAGGTTGCTAAGATGGGAAATGCAGTTTCACAACAGTCACGGAGTGAAATGGGGAGGGAGAACGCGAAAGAACATGAACACGTTCCGTCCGGTGGCGCAATTCCTGCGAATTTATCGTGATCAATTTGGTCTTCAAAAGAAGTAAGCAGAGCCAGTGATAGTCCTAACTTTTAGGGGTTTGATTTCTATTTGAAAAATAGTTGAATTTTATCACTAATGATGGATGAGATGATGTTGATTATTGGCTTACTGGCTTTCTGTATCACTGCATCACTGCTTGTCTTTCGTTCCACTTGTAGGAGAGGCAGAAGTCTCAGTCACCATAGTCACCCGTAATTTCAACACCCTTCTGTGCAACTGGATCCCAGACTTCCTGAGTGAAACCCATGACAATCCACTTGGGAAACATCTCCAACATTAGCACACTGAGCAGTGATGCCCCCCAAGGCTGTGTGCTCAGCTCAGCTCATCCAGCTGACTCATGACTGTGCTGCAATGGACAGCTGAAACGTCATCAGTGTTAAGGTAAGGCATGGAATGCTTTATTGTTCTTGAAGGGAAATTTGTCATGGACTCCAAACCACTGCATTCCATCACATACACTGCATTCAACAGAATAACACCATACAATATACAGACAATCATAAGTAATAAATGATAATACAATAATATACAATGACCAATAATAAACAGCAATAAAAAGCTAAGATCTAAGAAAGACATTAGGTCTTAGTTTCTTTATTGTTTATTATTAGTGCATCTGATAGTATACTTGCCTATGCCTTCTGGCTTCAGTATTCAGTATAGTAACCTTTAGAACATTTAGTTAAATGCTGTGTTTTTTGTTTTTGTCTATAAGAACAGAAAGAGAAAAGGTTTTTATATGACTAGTAAAAATCACAGAGCTGAGTAAACTGGTTATTCTGTGTATGAACACCAGAGGGCACCCCATACACTCGTGATATCGATCGGAATTTATTCAGAAGTCGATAAACAACTGTAGCCAGGGCTGGTCAATCCAATAGGCGACATATACGGCTACACAGGACGCCATCTTCTAGGATAGTCCTGACCTGCCAGTCAGTTTGCCTCAGACAGGGGGCGCTGATGGTAATGCTTTCCTCGGGTGCCATGCTGGCTACTCAAAGTAACTGATCTCTGCAGGACCCTACACTATTGTGTGTTGCAGCTGATCCCCTGGAGGTCTATTTGCGTTGAGTGTGTGGGGGGGGATTTTCTACATTACCCTTCATTAGGTTTAAGGATGTGCTGTAAAACTTACTGGAGATTTGTGGGCTAAAGCACAGAAATTTATCTAAACACTGCATAATGCACTACAGCCTTCTGAAAAATTATGGTTTACCTGTGGGTTCAGTCAAGACTGAGATTCTGGCTTTTGCTCTCTGCGCACGATATAAGTCACCATGTACAGTCTCATAATTTGCATTCTTATTGTTGAGCTGAGGCTACACTTGTCTGCATGATTAATGCAGAGAGAAAGGGCGATTGCTCTTGAGGAAGCACCCTGCTTCAGGATTAGGTGCGGAGTGTGGTCTGTTCCACAGGGGACAGCATGACCCCTAGGAGGTAGATGAACTGGATGATGGTGTTAACGGTCGATAAATAATGCCAAGTCCGAGTGAAATAACAATGTCTTGAGATGACTTCAGTGGCATCATAGAAAAATTAGCCCTTGATCTCTCAATTTAAGAAGAAATTACAACCCCTATCCCCTCTGGTATATCATATTATCCAAGTGCTAACCAACTGTCTTCATGAGGAACTGCATTAACATTACGAAGCTGTTCTACTTTCCCTCCTAATAGAGATGGATTGATACTACAGGGTCCTAAATGCCTCTCCCATGTCCTGGTCACCAAACCCCACACGCATCTTTAATGTCATTTAGGGAACAGCACTCTGGGTTCACTGGGTTAACAGCCCTGCTGAGAAAAAAACAGCTAAAAAGAAGCTAATGGTGGTAGCTGGCTTTAGCTGGTCTAAGATGGTCTTAGATAGTCATGTCCCAGCTCATGCTGCTCTTTGATGGTTTAAATGGGTGGGTCACCAGTTAGTCATGATGGCGTAACCAGTGAAACTAGCTAGAATGACCATTGTAAGCTGGCGTGATGAGCTAAATCGTTTAACGATCATGCGAAAACATCACGAGTCGGTCAACCAGCTGAACCAGTTTAAGATGGTCAAGTTTGTTTTTTCATCTTACAGAATGTCATCCTCACTCTCAGTAGGATGTTAACATGACCTGTGCTCTTATGTATTTCACAACTGTGAAACTCAACAGTGAGGACTTGGCGGAAGTCTCAGAGGTCTCACAATTCTTGCCCACTTCCTACTGGGAACAGAAGTAGCAAGGTGAAAAGAACAGCATTTCTGCAGTCTCCATCTCCATCGCTGTAAAAAGAAACCAGAAGAGATGACAAAACAATTATATGTGTCAAGCATCTATCAGTTACATTTAGCTTTAAAAAATTAATACATTACTCTAACTCTGACCAGAAACATTGTACTTTTATTAAAATTTCTCAGCTAGTTCAAGTGTCAGACAAGTTAATTTAACTTTTTGTGCAGTGCAATGATTAATATCCATTTTTTCCTCTTTATATTATTTGCTTTATTTTTGCTTTATTTTACTTTTATAAAAATGTTTTCTACAACGTTATTTTGCATCGTGATATGCAGCGTACTGAATATGATGGGGTGACATTAAAGCTGTACTTGACTTGCTTGCATTCTGGGGGTTGGAATACTCCATAATTGTGACTGATAATGCACCAAGATGGCGCGCGAGGTGATTGCGCCCCTAGTGGTCTTCCACCCCCAGCAACTGCCAGGTTTGTCTGGGCCGCATGCCGGCGCCGCTACAATCAATATTTAGCTAAATCAGCCTGCGGATGCTTCAAGAAGAAAGATGGAGACAGTGGAAGGACCAACCACCCCTTTTTGACACTTTTCCTGTCTTATTCAGAGCTTATGAAAAATTCATCAAATGCAAATGTGCTTTCTTGAGTCTATGGAAACAGATCCCCAGCCGAGAGAGAAGGCCATTTTTGTTACTGTGGGTTTATAGATTGTTGGATGATAGATTGTACTTATGTACTGCCGAAAGCGCAGAGGAGACAGAAGGGAGCGGGTGGTATTAACTTTATATAATATTTGTGGGGCCACTGAATTGAAAGATACGATCCCAACCTTCATCTCCATCAACCTGAATAAAACAGAAGAAGTTAGTAACTTATCTTATTTGGTGGGGAGCACAGGCAGGGCAGCCAATGAGACACAAGAATTTCTGAAAGCATTTAGCTTGATGACTATACCTTTAAGGACAGTGCTGAAATTATATCTTAGCAGCATGCTATGTAATGTATGCAAAAAAGTTAAATAGAAATCAAAGAAAAATGTAAAACATAAATGCATATAGCTTGGCATTAAACAAAACACATTTCAAATAAAACACAATATGTTTTCTTTTTTGTTAAAAAGTATTCTGCAGCATTTTTCACATTTTTGATGCTATTCTACTTTTTTTTTCCTCGCTTGAATTTGATTCAGAGCTGACTCAGTGAAGGCCTGAAAATAGAAGCTTGTGACATTACTGCTGATCTGTATAAATGATAATCGTCTTACGGAGTGTTACTAGGGATGACAGAGAATGGGAGAGACCGGAGGTGTGAATGTATTCTCTGCTTAATAAAGGTAAACAAATGCATCAGACCTAATAGGGTTCAGGGCCAGGTTACAGAGGCGGTATAAAATGATCTTGTTTTTCCCAAATAGCAGCTACAGATCAGTGTGACTGGTGAATAGCTTCCTGTTTGCAAACAGCACTGCCCTGGGTATGGCAGAAGGTATAGAGGACACTCCGGAGCTATGGATGAAAAGCCCAAGGCCAAAGGCTATTGGTGGAGTTTACCCTGTCTAACAAGCGTGGTGGTGGTCGCCCTCAGCTCTCCTGGTGTTGGGACCAGGAGTCCGAGGCTTTTCCTAGATCTCAGGACAGTTCAGCCATCTATACCATCAACCATGTACTATTTATAAATGAAAAAGTGGCCCTTTTGCCAAACTTTTCACCTGAATGTCGCAACCCCTGTCAAACAAATCCAGCTGTCCCCATCCTGCTTGTCATAAAAATATATCATTAAGGAGCTTTAAAATTATACTATGCTCAATCATGCATATTATAAGGGGTCTCGTCAGCTCTGTGGACCATCTTGCTGGTCCTTATTGTAGACAGACTGATGGACTGCAAGATCAAGAACTTGCGAGAAGATGACACACTGGCATCGTTTTCTAAATAAATGGCCTCAGTGAAGTAGTTAAGATTCTTCATTTTTTTAGAGGAGGTTTTTCTGACACTGCCCCCTGTTTGCGATCACAAATTGACATTAAAAACGTGTTAAAAATCTGGCCTACAGAGGAACGCAGTAAAGGGGTCATATTGGTTAATTGAACATGAGAGCAGTACAGATAGAGATTATTGGGGTTTAATTGCAGTGACCAGGTCTCAGTGCTGTTCATGTTTAATGGGTCACCCTGTTCACGCTACAGCAAGGTGTACCTCTTAATTAGTGTAATACCAGCCAGTGAACATCTTCATAGCAACACACAAAAAAGTAGCAGTTTACAATAGGTAAAGACCTCCTATTACAGTTACCAGGGGAGATTAATGCATAGGCTATCCTAGGATATAGCCTAGGGCCCTGTCAAACCTCAAGGTCCCATTCTACTTCAGGAAAAATGGAACAGTTAGTTACACACTAACACTATCAGCAGACACTTAGTGTCTGCTGATGTCAGCCTAAGGCCCCCACACGCTCTAATCTATCCCTGATTGTTACTGATAGCATTTTTTGAATATTGTCTTGAACTACTCAGGCTATCATTAACCACCTTACACCAACATTCTGAGCTGGACTCACCACATTTCCTGCCTTTCAGTGCCATGTATATTCAGAGTGAAAGACTGTTTGAGACCATTTGTTAGCTGAATTCCCAGAATTCATCTGCACAAAGTCAGTGTCAAACGATGCAAAGAAAAGCATGTTTCTTGATGGTTTTGAGGCTCTCTTTGTATTGCAGTAACAGTGATTAAATTGGTTCTCACACTGTGTTGGCCCTAACGTTGTTGTTGTTGTTGTTGTTTTGAACGTTGGTCTAATTTCCCAGGAGTCACAGTAAGGGTTAAATCAGGTCCTGGAATTAAGTGTCATTTAATTTCATTAAATGTTTGCTGCTTTTGTGTGAATTTTTGAACATCTTTTCAATCTAAATTTCCTTCTCCAGTATAGTGTGATCTAAATTTAGTGGCTGAAATTAAAATCTCTGAGTCTTTGTATTTTGCGATAGATTTGTAAGCCTGTTCCAAGCTTTGAAATGCTGCTCTTATGTGAAATTCTGGAGTGCCATTAGATACAAGGAAGATTATCCGGGAACCGTCTCGTAAAATGATTGTGCTGCTTCCATGCTTCTCTGTGGTTTTACTGCTCCATTGTAGTTGATGCTATCAGAACTCAGGATAGAGAGCCTTAAATCCATGACGATATAATCAATTGTCAAGAGAGACGACGGTCCTCCACAGGGAAGCCAATGTTACCCGTTGCTATAATAGACCTGTGCAGCACTATTTGTGGCAGGAAGTATTCTGAGGATTTGCTATAGATCTGTTTGGAATCAATTAAATTGGGGATCACTCAGCTTTGGGCTAGATAAGGGAGGGAGGGTGGGAAGCAGACTGAAAATTAGAAATAGATAGCTTCAGTATGGGAATAGATAGCTTTAGTAAGTATGGGAGTAGATAGCTTCAGTATAGCTTCAGTGATGAGAGCTATCCTGTTATTTGTAATGTTGTTGCCTGAAAAACTATCCCACTAATATAATCTATTCCCACCTTTGTGTAATCTGCTCTGCCCTCTGTCACTCTTACCAGGGCTTATCTGAATAGTTGCTGTTAAATGCTAGGTTAAACAGCTGTAGCACTAGTACGCTGGTCACGTAACACCTAGCATTTTCTTGCCAAGCACAGAACTTCCAGAAAGTGATTTCCAAATAAATCCATGTGGCTGTTAATCTAACACATGTGGGAAAGGGTGAGGTGAGGTGCTACCAGAGAGAAATCCATAAATCATCACAGATCACCACTGCCTACATACATGCAACGTTTCTGATTGAACCATGATAACATCCAGCATCTTGTCATTTTCCCAAATTGATCCGTGGAGTAATATCTGTTGGTACTGATGGGAGAACAGGCCACAACTTTAAGCAGAGTACTTAAGCTGAACTGATTGAGTAAAAACAACGTGGTTCAATGAATATGTATGTCACTGAGGAGAAAGTCATTTATAGATTAGCAATGTGTAATGGGTGGCTTTATTAGCATTTCCTGTAATGGGCTATGACTACAGAGACTGGTGTGTATGTTCAGAAGGGACTGAAGCTGTACAAGCCTCACGGTGTCTGTTGGAATGAGAAGAGCATGTG